GGTACTGGGATCAAGTTTTAAGCAAAACTGCGAGTTACTCCAAGGATTCAAACGGTGATTGGAGGTACTGGGATCAAGTTTTAATGAAAACTAAGTTACTCCGAGGATTCAAACGGTGATTGGAGGTACTGAGATCAACTTTTAATAAAAATGGAGGTGCTGGGATCAAGTTTTAAGCAAAACTTAACTACTCCGTGGATTCAAGCGGTGATTGGAGGTACTGGGATCAAGATTTAATGAAAACTGGGTTACTCCGAGGATTCAAACGGTAATTGGAGGTACTGGGATCAAGTTTTAATGAAAACTAAGTTACTCCTAGGATTCAAACGGTGATTGGAGGTACTGGGATCAAGTTTTAATGAAAAATGGAGGTACTGGGATCAAGTTTTAAGCAAAACTGAGTTACTCCGAGGAATCAAGCGGTGATTGGAGGTACTGGGATCAAGTTTTAATGAAAACTGAGTTACTCCGAGGATTCAAACGGTGATTGGAGGTACTGGGATCAAGTTTTAATGAAAACTAAGTTACTCCGAGGATCACAGGGAGAAAACTGATCTCTTTCCTCTCCTTGGGAATGTTTTCCTCTTTCATATTTTGAGCCATTTAATTGTCGAAAATATTTTTTAAAATTTTCACAATGTTAACTTTAAGAACTATGTTTAATGCCGCTTTGAGTTCCGTTTAGTCTCGTACCTTTAAATTTTTTGTTATCCTGTTTGAAAATCAAGACAGGGTGAAAACATACAAACGGTGTAGTTTCGGGGACGAAACCCCCTCCGAAACTATACATTACTCAACTAACGAGCTACTCGATTTGGCGAGTAAGATGTAGACATAAAAAATTTTCATTACTCTCGTATTTCAAACATTTAGAATATACATAGCTGCAAACTTGAACGGTCATCCCGAAATTAACTTCTTAGTAGTAGCAACGTTATAGCAGTTTGACGTATTAAATTTTCAATTTTGTAGTTTCAAAAAAAAAAAAAATTTCAACCTATCACGACAAATCAATAATTCAAAAAATATGTAAATATGACCTATTTGTTAGCTTACTTAGTTACTACCACTTTGTAAAATCTTTTTCAACGACCGTATGAGTCGGCAGGTATATATATATATATATGTCAGAAGCCCCTCCAAACATACAATAAAGCTATGCCATGGCATATAAAGTGTCGTTGTAGATAGAAAGTTCTGCTCTACACTAACTGAAGCCCATTTCGATCGACAATATTGTTATCTCATTTGCAATTTTTATTTAATAACTTTTATTATTTTTATTCGAAGGATCATGGGTCAGAATCGCTCTGCCGTCAAGTTAACTGTGGGAGGTTTTCCTCACTATGATACGTAAACGGAGGTTAGTTCCATCAAACAGTTTTCCTCAAAGTAGGGATGTAACGAATATTCGGCCCTTTTGCCGAATATTCGGCCTAGCCGAATACTGAAGTTATTCGACCGAATAATGAAGTATATGCTATTATTAATTATTTAGATTTGTGAAAGCCTTATTGTTGGCATCAAGATATTTAAAATATTACAAAAAATACATCAAGTTGTTAAATTTTTTTTAAAATATAGAAAGTTTAAAAAAGCAAATTTGTTAGTATTTATTTCATTTTTAATTTAAAATTTGAAAATTATTTAATTACGAAATTAAAATCTCATAAGTGAAACTTTTTAAAAAGTTCTTAATTTTCTGAGTTTTAATAATTTTTCTGACAAAAAAGAAAGTTAAGAGTGCATTTAACTGTAGTAAGTAATGAGTTCTTATCTTAAATAAAACAGCATAAAAATCACAAGTATAACTGTAACTAAAATATGCTATTATTAATTATTTAGATTTATAAAAGCCATATTGCCTTGTTATTGGCATCAAGATATTTAAATTATTACAAAAAATAAATCAAGTTGTTAAAATTTTTTTAAATATACAAAGATTAAAAAAGCAATTTTGTTAATATTTATTTCATTTTTAATTTAAAATTTGAAAATTACTTTAATTACAATCAAAAGAGAAATTTTTAAAAAGTAAGTATTCGGCCTAAAATTTGGCCGAATATTCGGTATTCGTTACATCACTACCACAAAGGCAAATTTCTCCCAATACTTGATCCAATTTTCTTGTCTTCTGGATTACGTTCAATATTACGAGGCGACAGAGTAATCGTAAACCCAAATCATGCAGTCAATACGTAATCCGAATAGGTTTTCAAGATCATTTTCTCAATAAGAAAGAATACTGTACATTCGTTCCTCAAATAAAAAATAGTTTTAAGGTCATAAATTTGTTTTTGCATAAATGAATTTCGGATAATTGCATTAATAATTTTAAAAAATGCCTAGGGTTGCATTTTCTAGGGTGTTTTTAACCCTGAAAACACTATCCTAAGAGCGCCACTAATCTCTATGAGCAAATGCATTCAATAAATATAATCGTAGAATTATTTATTTTCTAAAAAAAAGTTTTGCTTTGAAAAATACTAAAATATAAATATTTTCTGTTGCGAGACATTTTTTATTTGGTCAGTGTTTACGTTTCAGAAAAAAATGGGAGAGAATTTCTCACCCTTTCTCAAAAACAGGTTGAGATTTCAAAAAGTTGAGTGAGATTTCTAAAAATTAAAAAAACACGAATAGACTTGGAAAAAAATTATTTCTTTAATTGTAATACATTTTTAACATCTTCTAATTGAATATTTTTGCAGCATCATCATATGGAAAATTTTGTATATCTACTTTTTCATCAGTTATTATAGTTATTTGGTTGAAAAATATCCGTATTTGTTTCGTTTTGACCCTTTCTACCGACGTTTGTTTAATTTTCATCTGTCTGTTACGGAATAGAAGATGTCGCCTTAACAAGGTATTTGTCCATCTTACATTTATGCACAGAAAATGTAAATGTCTTACATGAAGAAACCTTACCTACGGTGAATACGTGGTTGCAGAGAAATGTGTTATGAAAGGGGTTCTGAGCAATAGGGAAGCTAGATAACAAGGACCAAGCAAAGTGAAACGGATTTTATTCAAAATGGCAAAAGACTAAATTTTTTCCAAAATGCGCGCATTTTGAAATTCATTAATAGAGTGTGCGAACTTCTCGCGTGAAAAGAAAAAAATATGCAAGATTCTCGCGTTGTAGTGACAACACTGTTTGGTTCATATTTTTCACTTCATAAAGCCTGGAAATTTTGTAGCACAGATAAAAATGTAATTTTCCTTTGCAGAGAGTGTTTGTATAACTTGTTATTCATTCATTCACATTTATTGTCATGTTGACATGCGATCGATTATAAATGAATTATTTAAAAGTGATTCAGAACCAAATTATAAACTAATTTTCTGAACATAGAAAACAAATTTGCATTATTCACAAATTAAAAAATTTACTTACAGTACCCTTCCAAATTATTAGGGACACTTAAAATTTCTAAAAAATTGTCATTTTTCAAAGTGTCATAACTTTTTCAAAAATGAATCAATTTTCATAAAAATTTCAGGATATCATGCTCAGGTCTTCTACTTTCACCTAAAAGTTACTAATTTAATTTATCTCAATTTTTTGCAAAAATTTACACTTTGGAACAAAGAAATTTTTAAAAAAAAAAAAAATGTCAAGTCTGACAAGTTGCTACTTTGTAACAAAATTTTTTGCATAAAAATTATTACTTACACATTAAAGTATAAGTCATTAACTTTAAAACGCGCTATCGTAAATGACTTAACGATTTTTTTTGACCGAGATATGAGATTCAGAAAATGTTTTGCCATTTATAGTGAAAAGTGAGTTGTGGCAGTTTTGGCAGTGTGGAAAGAAACCTGGAATAGCCCAGATATTATTGCAAAAGCAAGAGCTTGTGTTGAAAGTATGCCGCGAAGAATAAACGCAGTTATACAAGCAAAAGGACATGTTACAAAATATTAAGATTTTTTTATTATATTTGCTTTTGTAAAAATGTTTTTGAATTTTATAATAAAGTTATATTTCTTGAGTCGTTTTTTAAAATTTTATTGCAAATTTATAAATAATGTTCTTGTTTGTAATACTGTTCTAAATAAAAAAAAAACTTAATTTATCCGAATAAGAAAGTTGCAAAAAAATAATACTAAATAATTTTTGAATTCACATTTATTTCGTTTTTACTGTAAATGACAAAAATTTTTCATAATCTCAGTCAAAAAAAATCGTAAAGTCATTTACTTTAGCGCGTTTCAAAGTTAATGACTTGTACTTTAATGTGTAAATAATAATTTTTATGCAAAAAAATTTGTTATAAAGTAGCAATCTGTCAGACTTGACATTTCTTTTTTAAAAAAAATTGCTTTGTTCAAAAGTGAAAATTTTCTCAAAAAAAATGCGATAAATTAAATTGATAAATTTTAAGTGAAAGTAGAAGACCTGAACATGATATCCTGAAATTTTTATGAAAATTGATTCATTTTTGAAAAAGTTATGACACTTTGAAAAATGACAATTTTTTAGAAATTTTAAGTGTCCCTAATAATTTGGAAGGGTTCTGTATTTGCTCGATTCATGAATTTCAAAGATAACAAGTTTTAAGTGAATTCCTATAACCTTATCATTTTGTTAATGTGCTCTTTTAGTTAATAAAAGTTTAACTCAATTTTTAAAAGACTCATAATGGGAATCTGCATATTTTTTATTGTATTAACTATATTAATTATTGAACATAAACAATTGTTTTTAATAACTCAGAAAATGTATAATACTTCTTATAAGTTTAGCACTTTAACAATTATTTTACTTAGATTGAGGTTGATATAAAAATAATTTGTCAAACAAATATATATAGGTATGTCAAATAACAAGTTTTAGAAGACTTAGAGGTTGGGCAGCTCTGACGAGCAGGGCACATCGACCAGAGGTCTATTGTAACCACAAGTTTTAGAAAAAGACATTACAAAAAAATTTTTGAATCCGTAAAATGAAAAAAAAAAATTCATAGATTTGATAGAAATATTACTCATAATTGTTTCATTTTATCATTTTTTTTTAATTTCTTAGGTCAATGAGAAATAAATATTTACAAAACTAAAAATCACAATGCTCATTAACATTAAAAGGCTCAAAAATGATCAAATCAGTAAATATACAAGTGTTACAGGTATAGATATACAATCGAGTAACTTTTTATACCTAAAAAAATTGATAATACGGGTAACAAATAGTTTTTAAGTTGAAAATATTTACCATTTACTTTCTTACAGTCATTGTATTCTAGCCGTTATAAACATTGCTACAATAGTACATTGTAGCCGTACAGCCATCGTTAACACTGTACGAAAAATAAAGTTTAATAAAAAAAATTAAAACAATGTTTAATCAATAAGTCTCTGAATTGATAGAAATCAGAAAGAAAAAAAACAATTATTAAGCACGTCATTCATCACAAAATAAATGCAAAAATATTAGAGAAAAAAATTCAATATGAACAATACTTATAATGAGATGCAATATACAAAATATCCTTGCAGAGCAAATAGACAAACACGTTAAAATGAAATAAAATGTAACATGCATGGTTAAATGGTCAAATGAAAATAATTTAAAAATGCATCAGATCAGGGGGCCTCCAAAGTAGGAAGATCTAAAATTCCATGAGCTGTGAGTAACTTTCTATGTTGAATCTTTAAATGTCTCTTGAACGTATTTCTCGTCTTAAATTTCAATAAACAGGTAGGACAAATGAAAGGTGTCTCTCCCGTGTGGCGCCTCAAGTGTTCCTTATAATGACTAGGGTGCCTGAAAGCACGGAAGCAACTCGGACACGTGAAGCGACTTATGTTTTTGTGAATCAACATGTGATAATTTAAGCTGTGCTTTCGAGTGAAAGTACCCTCGCACAGTTTACAAGAGTAGGGCTTTATACCCGCGTGACTCCTGTAATGATGAATCAAAGTTGCGAGCGCCGTGAACTTTTTATGTTTGCAAATCTGGCACTCTAAAGGTCCCTGGTACTGTTTCTTTTTCTTTGCCTTCAGCTTTGAAATGCACCTGAGAGCCTTCTCTCTCTCCGCCTTCTGAACGTTCTCCGCATTCTCCTCGTTGCTGTGCTCCGGGGAGAGACTCGGACTGTTCGGCACACGCATCGTCGTGGAGACGTCCACTCTGTTCTCGACGCATTCCAGAACCGAACTGGGAATTCTCGCTCTTTTGATCGATTGTTTCACCGTCACGACGGGGTCATCGCCGCCGCCTGTTTCTCGGAGATCCGAAAGAAATTCCCCTTCCATAATCACTAATTCGATGCCCGCACAGTCGGGAAGAAGGGGCACATGAACGTACGGGAAGGGTGGCGTTTTGATCACGAGATCCGTGGGTATGCAGCATCCTTTCCTGTACGATGATCGTCCATTCTTGTGGGGAGGGGAATGTTCTTCCGAAGGTTTAATACCTTTTTTATAAGCATAACTGTGCTCGAGTGCGACGGATTGCACAACCAGGTCATTAGAATTGTCAGTTTTGGCAGAGGTGGATGGCTCAGAAAGTGAACAGTTAACATGAGGGCACAAGGGCCCGCAAATCTCGACAGTCAGATCTTGAACTATTTCTTCGACGACAGTATTTTCTTCATTGGGCTCTATCTTAGGGTTCACGAGGAATCCAGTGTGTTTAGAATTCATTGAATTATTTAATTTATGACAGTCAGGGATTTTCAACTTTGGTGGTTTGCGCAATCCGTTGTTTCTCTCTCTTGGAAGGGTCTTTTTGGAGTGCTTCTTACGCGGCATTTTGATACCTAAAGGATGTTCGTACTTCAAAGATCTTTTAGAACCTTTTGGTGGGCGCAAAACTTTCTTTTCATCTGTTTTAGGCGGCCACTGACCGCTTGATATTCTGTCTTCTAAGTCTTGTAAATGAAGTTGCAAGTGATGTCTCATACTGTCACATGCTTTTTTTTCACTACCATAGCTTTCATATACAGTGTCACACTCGTCGGGTAAAATCATGCATTTGTAAGAATAACGCCTCTTAATTTCATCTGATGTCGGTTCAGAAAATTTTTCTACGAGTCCTTTGATATGTAGATTTCGTATGTCGTCGATACACGTGAAATTTAGAGCCATGTTTGATTTGGATTTATTTGGATCAAACAAAGCGTTTTTAGGAGACGATTTTTCATCATCGCTATAAGATGTAAATAATACAGAGCAAATTGAAGCAAGTTCGTCTAGATTATTCATCTTGAACAAGAAAATGGTGTAGCATTCAAAGCAACGCTTTTCCGCTTAATCAATGTCTATTCAGTTTAAGGACGCTACAACTTCCATAAAATAGTTTTAATGAAACTTTACGTTTCTAAGAAAGGTTTTAGTTAATACTTAAGGCAATTTAAGAAAGAAACATAAAAAATATATAAAGATTACAATACTCTGCCGAACAAACACGGATTCAAAACCGTACATTTCATCCGAAAAGCAGAAACAATGAGCAGACTATCTAAAACATATTGCCAGATACTGAAACTTGAAAATAATAATCATTTCTAGACTGCGTTAGCCGATAAATCTAATATCAAAACTGATATCGATACAAAAATGCAGCGTTTTTGAATGAATAAGAACTCTATTAAAGCGCTAAGCGAATTATCAAATTTTAAAATAATATACATTTAGTCCTGAAGACAACAAAAAATAGCTGGGAAAATTGACTCACGAAAAGTGTCATACATAGATACAATAAAATAAATAAATACAAAAAATTATTGAGAAAAATATGACAATGTATAACTGAACATTTTCTTCAATAGTGTTCACTTCATTTTTTTTATTACATATTTTGTTTTAATTACGAAAACTTTAAACTTAAAAGTTTTCTGTACTTAATTTTTCGATGTTTAAATTTACGATTTAAGGAATTTCTAATAAGTAAACTTATTTCTGTCGTTTTGTTACTTTATGTATATTGATTACTTTTTACACTTAAAACTAAAATATTTTATTCTCTTTTAGGGTATGAATGCAAAATTTAAAAAAAAGAAATATTTATTCAAAGTTTGAAAAAACGATTTTTATCGCGTTTAATACTTTCTCATTGTACATAAATGTACTAAAATTGAAGCTTGAACAGTAAATCTAGCTCCACAATTTTTACTTATTTATTTTGTTTAGTTATTCATTAGTTATAGTAGAGTAATTATTATTTTTTTATTCATTTATTTATTCTTCGATATGCAAATAGTTTTTCGAATTTAATAAGAATTTACTGAAAAAATAAGGGAGTAAAATTTTTTGAAGCAAAATTTAGTAACTAAAATTTTCTATTCCAATGTATTTGAATAAGTAAATAAATTTTCGAATTTAAAATTTTAGTTTTTTCATTGTTATTTTGATTTGCAATGTTAACTTTCTCTTAGGGACAGTCCTTAAAAACGCACCAGAACAGCAACTTTCAAAATGACGTCGGGGTTTTAATTATATTTCTACATTTTCATCATATTGAAAATATAGAAAATCTTTTTTTTTTTTTTTTTTTNTTTTTTTTTTTTTTTTTTTTTTTTTTTTTTTTTTTTTTTTAAGTTTATTGTCTGGATTAACTTTCTAAGTATATGCTATTTCATAAATGCTTTCAATTCATTATACTAATTATTATAAGATAAATCCTTCTTTGTGAATAAGAATTTTGAAATCATATTTGAATTAAAAGTTGTAAATTGAAATAATATGTAGGTATTGCAATTTTTTTATGACCAAGTTTCTTTTTCCTGATTTTGTCTTTTTGTTGCATTTTTTACACTTATTTCTATGTTTTCAGCTTTGATTTGTGCTGATGTCTTTTCAAGGGAGGACTTTTCCTCTATATTTTATAAGAACATCCATGTGTCCTAAAATAAAAGGTTTGAGTCTTTTTTGTAATTTTTTGCAAAGACTTTGGTTTGAATTGTAAATTTTTTTCCAAAAGTATTTTTAAATACTTTTGAAACTTGAAAAAATAATAATTTATAAATGATTTAATATTTAGTAAAAAATTAAATCATTCTTATAGACATAAAAAAGTATATTATCCTGCATATTCTATTTTAATTTATTGGAATAAATTAAATTTATTGGGTAATGATTATTATTAGCATTTTGTATTTTATTGATTATAAAAATCCTTTGATCTAGAAGATTTTACACGATGAAATTTGTTGTTTTATTTAATCTACTGGTTGATTTTTCTTTAAATCTTGGCAGTAGTTATTGATTATATTTTAAATCTAGTTTTCTCAAATGCATGAATGCTTTTTCTCTTAGTTCTTCATATGTGACATAAAGAGATTTCAAATGATCTCTACTTGTCTTACCAAACTAATTAAAGTCTCAACTAATGGCACTTTTCCATTTACTCCTCTTTTTAAATAATTTATGATACAAAGCTTTCTCTTGTAAAGATATGTCATAGACTCTTTGCTAACAGCTACAATCATTTCGTTAAGTGAATGCGAACTGAAAAAAATGCCAAGTATTTTTTATTCAGACTCTCACTATTTAGGCTTATTGTAGTGAACCCACACACCTCATTGCACTATTTTTAACTATTTATATTATTTGATGAACAGCAGGTGCATTAGTGGTTCCATGGATTATCATGATTTCTTTCAAGCAGTTTTAAATATGTAGGCCTACTTTGATTAGACTTATTAGAGGTTTTTTGCAATAAACTGAAGTAAAATCATTCTGGTTGAGTAACTATTTGCATTCTTAGTTAGCTTTAAAATATAGAAGCGGGTGGTTATAAGCCTGAAAAATTTTAAAATAATGAATTAAAAATTGGAAAATGCAATCAGATAAGAAAATACTGAAGAGTTTTCTAGTCAGTTTAGAGAGTTACAAAATGTAGGGTGCATTTGCAAAGAGTTTGATTTTTCAATTTGCCTATGACATAAAGTTTTCTCTCTCTCTTTTTTTTTATAGGTGTTTTGAAATATTTCTTGGTAACAGCTTGCAGACATAAGTCATTCTTAAAAAGTACTAAAAACAGGTATGACCTTAGAACTTAAATATTTTGACAACCTTCTTCATTTATTAAGTTTTATCTTTGGTATATGAAACAGCCTACCTTGGGGTTAGGTCATATTAATAGTGAATACCGTATTTATAAATGGGTATTTTTCCATGCATTTGATAAACTGCCTAAATTTGTATATTTATAGTTTTCTGTCATTTTTGAAGCAAATAGCCATGAATTGTCTTGATTACTGCTCTTTGAATATTATAAATGTAAATAAGGTAGAGAAAAAAAAGGCATAGTGAAAATTATGAATAGTCCAATAATTTAAGTACATAGTTATGTTTCGCGCCTGTATTCACCATTGACCCTCACCCTCGGTCAGAGTTCAAAACAGGTTTTATGAGAGCAACTCTAGGTTAGAGTCCAAAATTTCATTTCACCATGTACGTAACTGTGAGTTACTCTAACTCAGAGTTAAATAATGAAATATTTACCCCGACCTGCCCCAATTTAGGGCATATGGGTAAATGTTTATTAAAATCAAGAAAAACAGAAAGGAACATAAAATACAAAAAGTGCAAAAATACGAAAACATTACAGAGTCTGATGGCAACAGCAGTAAAACAATTAAAATGCTCCAAGAGTCCTGCCTTATAGTGCCGAAGCCGATGGGACCTCCCTTATAGTGAGCCAAAGACACAAATAAAAAAATTTACAACACATCGCTGGAAAGTACAGTATGACATACAATGCATCATGTGCATGCAGTACGTAGGATTAAAACGAGTAATAATGCAGAGTAAGTTGGGTCGCTAAACCAAGGAGATCATTAACATTGTGACAGGTTAATAAATGTCACAAAGTATAAACTGTTGATGTATTCAAGAACAGTAAAACATAAAGTGAACCATTAAAAAAACATTTACCTGAAGTGAACATAAGAAAACATTAAAAGGTCACAGGTAAACGGAGGTCCCAAGTTAATATAGGTCAAAGAACCAATACAGTCGATGACAAATTGACAACANTAACATTGTGACAGGTTAATAAATGTCACAAAGTATAAACTGTTGATGTATTCAAGAACAGTAAAACATAAAGTGAACCATTAAAAAAACGTTTACCTGAAGTGAACATAAGAAAACATTAAAAGGTCACAGGTAAACGGAGCTCCCAAGTTAATATAGGTCAAAGAACCAATACAGTCGATTACAAATTGACAACAGGTAAAACAGAAGAACAAGGCGTAAGGAGCCAAGAAAATCTCAAATGTAAAACAAAAGGAGGTAAAGTGGTAAAACAAACAATTATCAAATACAATTAAAAGGCGACGCTAAAATTTGCAAAGCAAGGAAAGGCAATGTAAATAAGCCAATTAAAAAGCACAATGTAGTGAATAAATAGATTAAAACAGAATTAAAAAGCGAATGAGATAGATAAAACAACAAAACGTTGTCAAAATAACGGGAAGCGAACAGGCGGGCAGCCCAACAACCGGGACTGAGATTAATTCGTGTAGAGCGGATCCAAAATGTCATCAGGGGCGAGTGCGTCCTCCAGGGTGCGTTTAATGATGTTTTTAATAATTTGCCTCTGTTTATTAGTCCTGCACCAAGATCTTATGTCGCCTCTTCTGTCAAAACTATTTCCCCTAATGGTTGCAAATTTTTGACAGTCAAGCATCAGATGTTTAATAGTCTGATAGTGACCGCAATATTTGCACGCGGAGGATTTTTGAAACATCCTAGCTTGGTGATCGCCAAATACACCATGGGAAGTTAAGAACTGATTAAAGTAAAAATCGCTGGATAAAAAACATTCGTTAACTGTAGGTATCAAATAGTGTGTGTGTCTCCCGTTTGCAGAGCTGCTCCACCTGTCCTGCCATAAAATCCTACTGACCTGCCTCTGTCTATGTTTGACCTGGGGTTTTGTTATGGTGTAGTGAAAGTCCACCCCGCCCAATAAGGTGCCCTTTTTGGCTAAAATATCTGCTTCCTCGTTGCCAGGCTCCCCCGAGTGGGCTTTAATCCAATTGAATAAGCATTGTTTGTTTTGAACAATTTCCTTAATTTCTTCTACAAGAGGGTCTGTTGGGGTTGGGTTTTCAAGGGCCTGCAACGAGGACTTTGAGTCAGAAAAGATGGTGTATTGTTCAATATTGTTATTGTTTGCCCAAAGGGTAGCCAATTTGATTGCCGTAAGTTCGGCGGAGTAGATACTACACTCATTATTTAAACGTGCGGTCTGTTCGTAAATAGTATGGTTATCCAGTTTCACCAAGAAACCACAACCCACCCGATCTTCATTAGCGCCTGTGCTTTCATTGGTCACCTGTTTCTTACTGCCATCGGTGTAGAACTCGTAGAAAGCGCCCCTTGGTGAGCCGAAACCCCTACTAATGATCTTTAACTTCGTAGGGTCATACACAGGGACTGAATGAGGGATAAGTTCAGTTCAAGTAAGTTTTAAGTTCATCTGTTTGATAGTCATTGTCGTTAAATTCCACTGGTGACCAGGTATGTCATTGAAATAGTTGCTCTAATTTTTAAGTCAATAGGTATGACTCCTGCAAGTATTTGTAGTGCCTCCGTGCTAGTTGTAGAGTAGCATTTAGTAATATTGAGCAATGGAATTCTTTGGATAGTTAGGAGCTTCTGGTTTATTTTAACTTGATTTTTATACCACACGGAGGCACCATAAATGATTTTCTTTTCAATAGCCTGCAGGTATATCAATTTCGAGATATTCGGACTAAGTCCCCATGTGGCTCTACTGAACTGTTTTAGTCTGTCATAGAACATGATGATATCTTTTCTTAGATACTCCAGGTGTGGAATCCAGCTCAGCCGAGGATCGAGCACCACTCCAAGGTATTTCAATGTTTTGTCGCATCTTACATAGGCCGTCCTGGTCCCCTCCATTTTTAAGCAAGGTGTTCTCTTAATACATTTCGCGTCTTTGGGGAAGGTTATAAGTTTTGTCTTATCGGGTGAGAATTTCAATTTATGGCTCCCGGCCTAATTAACCATATTTTGAATAATTTCGGTCCCCAGCTTATCGAGACGATAAAGAATGGTGTGCTTCATTTAAAGGAAGACGTCATCAGCAAAGGCCAGTAGTTTGCAATCATTAAAATCAAAGCTGGTTAAAAGAGAATAAATTAAAATTAGCCATAAAATTGGTCCCAGTGATGATACCTGCGGAGCACCAATATTAGTTGGTAAAATAACAAATTGATCATTAAAATAATAACTGACATGTCTGTTGTTAAGGAAATCGTAAACAATTGCTAACACCGAATCACTGAGCCCAAGGTTATTAAGGCAGTGCTTCAGGATTTGCCAATTAGCTGCCAGAGTTAAATAACCTTAACCTGAAGATATTCCCGATTAGAGTAACCACGCATGCGCAGTAAACTAGTGTGTGCTTATTTACTTCGTTTTCTTCCTCGGTATTTTTTTTATTTCTGTTCTTTTTTGTTTCCAAATTTTAATTGTTTTTCATTTCGATTCTTTTTTTGTATTTTTAACCTGAAGACTTCTCCGGTTTGAGCAACGGCGAAGCGAAGAAGGAGATTTTTTATTTATTTATGTTTTCAAAAATTACACTTGATGTTTGGTTGCTTATGTTCAATGAAGTCAATTTTTTTTACTTGATGTAACTAATTTATATCTTGTGAGATGATTTTTTTTTAAAAATTAAATAGAGTAGTACCTCTTGAAACTGTGCCTCTAAATAAATTATATCCTTTATTTTGGAGACAATTCTATTGGTCTTTTTGAATAAGAGTCTTAATATATTTATTTTATTATAAGGGATACTGAAAAAAAATTTTCAAAATGTAAGATAAAGGTAGAGAAACACAAAATAAAATACTCTTTATTATCCAAATGAAGAAAGGATGAGCTTTTTTCTCTAAATAAAAGAGTTTAAATAATGCTTCATAATAAAGCTTACTTCAGTTCTATGATAAAGAATTATCCTTGATTGAGGGGAATCAGAACTTAAAAAAGGAAGTTTTAACTGATGAAAGAAGGGAAATAAGCAGGGTTTTCTGAGAATCCCTAGAGTTGTAAGTTTAAAGGATGAGACTCGATTATTGCTGAAGTAATGGAGTCTCCTCGAATAGAAATGTTTGCTGATTCTTTCGAAATGGGAACATAACAGTTAACTAACTCATTTTAAACTCTCAAAATGTATTGTAATGTAATTAGGAAAAGAATTATGAAACAAAAATTGATGCCATTTTTTCTTTAAACTGTGTACTGGCCTTTTATTTTTAAAATTGAAAAATTTGATGTAGTATTTCTTTCTATGGTTCGTCAGAAATAATTGCTTTGTGGTGTAACTACCATTACGATTATTAAACATCAATTCACTAGTATATTAGACATGCTAACTTGATTCAAACTTGAGATACCTTTTGATAGATGAAGGTTGACATTGTCTAATGGTCTTTCCCCCCACAGTTAATCCAGTAGTAATAAGATTGATCCTATTTTATGATATCACTTTTCTGCACCTTTCATATTGTTTCTAAAAACTATTTATCTTTTGTGAAGTGGCAACTCTTTTATTTTTCAAACATCCGGATAAGTAAATGTAATATTTTTACTTTCAATGAAGTGCATTCATTTTTTTTTATTGAAAGGGTAAAATGTAACTAAAGGTAAGAAATTGATTTTTTACGTACCCTTATTCATGCATTTTCTCTTTTACTTTATGATGATTAAAAATATTTTGCTTTGTTGTCCCTCAGTGAACTGATCGTAAAGATACAGTTCCCTCTAGAACTTCAAAGTCGAGCATCGCTGCCTGCAGGTGGTTGACCACTTTAATGCTTACGTAGGGACAGCTGGTGCGTGGCATCGGTCTTCATCAAACAGTTCTACCGTAAAGTGCTCGACTTTGCTGGCAGGTTTTTGGGCAACACAACAGGGTTGCCACTCCACAGGGAAAACCTGAAAAATACAGGGAATTTAAAAATCACTTAAAATAACGGGGGAAATGCAGGGAATTTTGATTTTTTCCTTACAAGCTGGAAAAATACTGTAAAATTTGTTTCTTATTTTTGTCGTTTATAAAATGATGGCCACTCAAAGCATAATCTATGGGATATTTAACCATGATATTTCATCTATGCTAAACTATTTCATTTACTATAGCATTATTTAAGTATGTTCAGTTGTTTTTCCAGCAATTAAAACTAATAAATGTAGTTAACCCAATATAGTTCACACAAGAGCACAGTAACTGTTGTTTCCTCTTAATATATTGTGTATAATATATGCAGGGAAAACACAGGGAATTTTTTTCTCCAGATTTGAGTGGCATCCCTGCCAAAGCAGGGGAGCCATCCCCTCTGCCAAGGATCAAAATTGTGTCGGCATGTCTTTGGATCATCATCGGGGATGTTTCCCAGACTGTCACCGATTGCCCATTGTGCAACATAAATAAAATACTAACCTACCTACGTACTTTTTGCTTTGTTACCTTTAATACTTATCTTTTTAAAAATTTTCTTCTATTTTTTCTATTTAAAATTTGGATGTTATCTATAATAAGTACTTTACTTACATTATTAGTTTTCTTCCAGTAAAATCATTTCGAATGAAGAAAAAAATTTGAATCACCAACCAAGCTTGTTTCTTGATGACCTCAATTCTGCTGACTTATCTGTGGTCGCTGAAAGGTTTAAACTTAAGGTATTTTTTTTTATTGTCTGTTTCCTCCATGCATTGATTTCTTTATGGTTAAAAATATAGGTGCAACTTCCTTTTGTCCCTGAAGTATAATATTTATCACATCATGAAAATAACATGCATTTTTTCCCCTTCAAATTCTTGAACTCGAGAAAGTTTTATTTTCTCTATTACGAGAGCTAGTATACTTGCAGATAGTGTAGTTTGCGGAGTATACTTGGTGAAGTAAATGAAAATAATAATTAGAGAAGGAGATTTTACTGTACGAGACTTATAAACAACCTGATATTTTTAAATACATAGAATGGCCTGTGTGATTCAAATGAGTGATACAATAAAATATATATTGCTTTTTGTACCTACTGCAATAAGAAAGCGGGGAAGGTCACAGTTAAGATGGGCTGATTTTCTTGCAATCAATGAAAAGAATTGGAGATAAGTCATTATGGAGAAATCTTCAGAGGAAGGCATTGGCCCACATTGGGCTGTCTTGCCAACTATAATGATGATGACTATGGGCCAGAAGACTATGATCTTTGGCCAAAAGTAAAAAATAATTTTTCAACTGAAATATGTGTAGGCAGTTTTAATATATCCCAAATTAAGTATTCATAATCGTTCCAAACATTATAATTTACTTTTTGGACCGACAACATTACAATGTAATGAAAAATATGTTAAAAAAATTATTTTAAATGCAACTTTTAAATTTTTATTTCAGAAATTTATAGGAAAATCACCTTACTGTTACATTTTTATCAGAGTAATTAGTGTTAAATTATAGTACAATTTTTCAATTTGTTGGATTAGTTAATACTCTTAACAAACTTATAGTTTATATCTTATCATTTGACATTTTACAATGTTTGAACCAAAATTCAAAATTTCAACTATGAATTCAATTTATCTGCACATAAAAAACCTCACATTTTGAAGCAAATTTTATCGAAATACTAATTTTGGCCACGAAACCTTGGATGCTGGCCCACTGTGCAATGGCTAGTTTAACAAAACAGTTTTTTTTTTAAAAGTTCTTTTTAAAAATTTAACTTTCTATTATTTTTAAAAATATTTTTGCAGTGAAACCTCGGTTAAACGGACATTCTAGGGATCGAAAATATTCTCCGTTAATGAGATTTGTTCGTTTACAAGAAGTTAACCCTATTAACAAAGTTTAACACTGTAAATTGTTTTTGGAATATTTTCAATGATATAAAAATAATCAAATAATCAACAATAACTATCGACAGGGATATTTATTTAATCTTTAAGAAATATTTTTTTCTATCCAAAAAAAGAATAGATGAAAAAGTTTTATATAAATACATAATTCTAGATGTAGCTACAGGAAAATGAATATAATTTTCCGATTAATGCAAATATTCAAGTTAGTCATATGATAACAATGCTCATAGTCCTCAGTCGGTTTCAATTAACACACCTTAACATCTAGTCATCACTTGATAGGAAACATGGTTAATACCTTCTTGAAAGTCTCATGAATCACAGAAAAAAAGCAATGCTTACCTGTAAGGCATGAGGACCTATGGAATGATTATTCACAATGATTGTTGTTTAGTCACAGTGCTCAAGTGTCTGAATAAAGGTTTCATTTTTACAAACAACTCAAATATTATATTTGTGCTATCTTTTTACACCAGCTGTGTTAAAAACTGTCTTCAAATTGATAAGAAAATGAAGGAAATTTTCAGTGGGAAAGATGCATTTAAGACTTCATTTCAACTTGAGGGGTTTCATAGCCTGTGATCAAAAGATGTCACACTGTCTAAATCATTGCAAAGATAAAGGCAAGGAAAAAGATTGATTCTTTAGCTGTAAAATAGTTTAACAATATTTTTAGCTATGGATTAGGCAGGAAATTTACATGGATTAAAAACAATTCTTGGACATACGTGAGTGTCCGCTTGGTTGCAAATATGTCCGTATTGAAAAGCGCCCGTTTTGAGAGAGTGTCCATAACAAGAGGCTTCACTGTTGTTAGAATAGAACTGAATAAAAAAAGAATGTTACATTTTCTCGTAAACATTTTATAAATTCTGAGTTTAATTGTTAATGTATTACTTTAAATAAATATTAATGCATACTTTTTAAATGTTAACTTATCATTGTGTTCTAGCAAAAAAGTATTAGTGTGAGGAAATTCCGATCATTTTAAAATTTGCTGAATATGAAATTTAAAGATCAAAAGTTGGTCTAACATTTTTTGAAAATCTTACTGAGAATATTTTATGATGGCCACAATCGAGCACATAAGTGAGAATGATGTACTTTTTTTAAATTTCTTAGCAGTGTTTTTTTTTTTTTCATTACAGTGCCTGCCGTTTATTAAAATCACTTTCGTTTTATGCTCTTTTGATTTCATTAAGCGGCTGATTTTATTAAGAGGCGATTCAACATTTGAAAAAAGAAAACTTTTTTACGATACATTCTAAATGCACACACTTTAAAAGCTGAAATAATGACCACATTAATGCTTTATTTTAACAAATTTAATTATTTTAATAAAGTAAAACCCTACATAAGATTAAATTTACAAAAGTTTTGCAAAAAACCGATCAATGGTTGCTTGAGTTGCAGTATTTAAAATTAACTTTTCAACATCATTTGAGAGTTTATAGAAGTTTTTATAGTTTTCGATATTCCTCCTCTTTGTTCTAAAGCTTGCCGCAATACATTAAGTGCTTTTCTGACTTCCATTGAAGATGGCACTGATGAGTTTATTTCATCTTCTGAGTCTGATTCCTCCATTTCTTGATGGGAAATAACTTTGCAATTTTTGATGTCTGTAACAATTTCAGAATCAGATTTTTCTCCTGATGTTTGCAGGTTATCGTCAATAGCTACGTAACGTGAAAAATTCTCGTCCATTTCATTTTCTTCATTGCTGATCATTTCTTCGAAACAGTTATGAGCCCCATCTCCATTGAAGCTTCACGTTGACTACATTTAGGAAGCTTATCATAGTTTTGCAACACTTCGAATTTATCTTTAAGACTCAAATCCTTCCTTTTCGGCATGCTGATAAAATTTAACACCAAACGAACTTAAAAATGATATGTGCTCTAACTCTAACTATAATTTACTCAAACGGCTTAAATAATATGGAACATGCGCACAGACAGTTTTTGGAAATCTATTCATGTTCTCTGTTAAGATAGATAACAAAAGAAACTTCTCTCCCTTCTATGGTTCATTCAATAAAAAGTAAGATAAGAATAAGACCCACTGTTGAGTGAGATAGGTTTCTCCAAACTTCATTCAAGTCAAGGAATTAACATGCTAGTGCTAACCACACCTGTTTCACAGGTTTGTGAGTAACTGTTGCTTCTTCTAAAAAAATCTTTAAACTTCATAAATAAGAACAAAAAAAGCTGAAATATTGCACCTTTGATTTATTACGTAGTCAAAATTTTGACTTTAAAAAGCGGCAGCATTGATTTTATTAAAGGATGTTTTTAACATGTATTGATATTGTAACGATTCGGTTCTTGCCCATTTGATTTTATAAAGCGGCTGATTTTATTATCTGGTGATTTTATTAGCGGCGGGCACTGTATTAGAATAATTTCAAAATACATTTTTTAGATTACAAAATATCCAAAATTCATTTAAAGCGTTCTCAGTTTTTTATTTTTTATTTAACACTGTGTAATATTAATGAGCATATTGCTATACTGAAAGCTTCCTTATGCTTAAATTATGTTAAGAATAAAATATATTTTATTCTTTTTTTGTTATTAAATCATTGGCACTAAAACATATTTTTCCTACACATTAAGTCAGCTCATTATTCTTTTCTTTTATTCTTTTTTTTTAATTGAAAAAACGAAGCTATTGCCTTAAATACTTCATTTTAAAGTTTCTGTTGGCTATAATGAAAACTATAGATAAGAAGAAAAATAATTACTGTATAAAAATAAGGTCCAATAATTTTATGAATCTCTTATGCTAGACAAACATTTGAAAGACAAATTTGGCAACAAAAAAAAAGGAGCTTTAAACTATTTATTTCAGTTTTGTCTCTCTTTGAAGAGGTTTTAAGAATGATGGATATTAATATATCAAAAGTCATTTTCATTAATGATACATATTAATGTAGAGTGCTTGTTTGTGTAAAAACGTTTTTTTTTCTTTCAATTTTTGTTTTTCAATGTGGACCTATGTTTAACCTTTCTCTAATTATTTTTCAAAATGATAAAATGCGTTTAAAGTATGTTATTAAAAGTATATTACGTTATTTTTGTCAATTTTTCATGTCGTTTTATCAAGCGAGTAACTGCAATAAATCTTTAATTCATCTTTATTTAAATATGTATCAATTTTTGAGTAATATTCTTTTTTTATCTGCAGGGTTTGAATGTAGATTATTTTTATAAATATGGTGTCAAAGCTACAGCTGACCTATTTTCTTTGTTATTTCCATTTGATTCAATGGATAGAGAGTTTTCTGCCATCCAAAGTTTGAGCTATAAAAAAGAGACAAAGATCACAACCTTTAAGTAAGTTCTTAGATATGCTTTAAAAAATTTTGTTTTGTTTAAATAGTTTTTCTACTATAAAATATCATTATTTCCTTTCATAACGATTTTAAATGCTTCAAATAACATAAAAAATCTTATTAATAAATTATTTTGTGTAATAAACTAAATAACCTGAATAAATTCAAAATCAATCAAATAAACCTGAATCAGCAGTTAATTTCTATTTATCTAATTAATTAATCTAATTTCTGACTTTATGGATCTTACCAATGACTGACAATAATAATGTTATAAATAATTTATAATTAATAAACTCTCTTTTCATGGGAAATAACCGATGGATGCGCTTTTAGAAAAGTTCTTTCATCTCCTAAAGTGACAATTTTGATGGTCGCATTGCAGAGATCTCATATTTATCATTAATCTGGATGCAAAAAAATGGCATTTTGTCAAATTTCATATTTAGCTTTAATATCTCATTCCTTTTCTGCAATTCTGACTTGAATAAATAGAAGGTAAAATTTCTCTCCTGAAGAATTTTTTTGTAAGGAAACTATTCATCGTCGTATTGAAAATGGGAAGAAAATTATTTTTTGTTAACCTTGTTCTTGTCTCAGCATTGTTATCATCAATATTGAGAAAAGTTAAGAGTGTTTTTTACATCATTTCTCCCCCTTACACAAAGAAGACTAGTGTCGTCTGTTTTTATATGTTGACAGACAGCAACATTTTAATAGAAGTGACATGTCTGCCTCTATGTGGAGATGGTTCAATGGATAGACAAACTCTCCCTATTGGCTCCAAATTAGAAATAAAAAATTACAAAAAGCATTGAAAATTAACTTTCATTTTGTTATTTTGCATTTATATGATAAATGGCATACATCAAGACAGAAGTAACTGACTCGCTTGAAGAGCGTAAACCGGAGTTTCGATCCCGGCGATGGCTTGCACCGACCAGTGCTGACGGGAAATATCCTCAGTGGTACAGGGATCATGGGTTAGAGTCCTCTTGCCGTCAGGCTAACCGTGGGAGGTTAACGTGGTCTTCTCCATGTAACGCAACTGCTGGTTAGCTCTTTCAAAAAGTCCTCCACAAAGGCGATATTCTCCCAGTATACGATCCAGGAGTTCCCTCGTCTTCTGGATTGGTTTAAAAATGACAAGGTTACGGAGTTGAGCATTAGTAGTCGTAATCTCATAAAATCGGGTCGGCTGTTCAACGAGAGTTATGAAATAAAAATAGAAACTGACTCGCTTGAAGACGCATTCCCTCAACTACTTTTATCTTAATTTTTTCAGGGTTGCCACAGACTACTAAAATGCAACTATTTGCTACTATTTTCGGCCTTAGGCAACTATGACACGTGGTACATCATAAATCTACCTCCATGTGGTGCATCATAGATCTACCTCCACGTGGTGCACCCTGGGCAACGCTCTGTCGGCTAAATGATCTACAACTCTGGCGTGGGCCCCTCGCTGAATAGTAACTCATTGTTGCGTGTGCTACAGTGGAATGCGGGTGGGCTGTCCCACTCCAAGAGGGCTGAGCTCTGCAAAACTTTTACATCCTACGACATTGACGTATTCACAATAATGGAAGCTAATTTATCACAAGATAGCATTAAGTATTGCTCATTCCCCGGTTACGCCCTGTACTTGCTTCCAAAAGCTAGACAAGTGGCGAGTGGTTTACTTATGGGAGTTAAAAAACATCTTACTTCTGACTTCCAAATCATTAAGGAAATGAATGATAGTGATAAGACTGAGCTAATCAAACTAAAAATTTGGAAAGATGGACATGCTTTTAAGATCTACAGCACTTACTGCCCACATAATAACACACCTCACTATAATTTACCATCAATACTTTCTAGTACAATTTTTATTGGTGATTTCAATGCTCATTCTCTCAAATGGGGGTATAATGATACAAACCAGGTAGGATCACGCATAGTGGATCTATTAAACACCTCCACCTTGGAACTAGTCTATAACTGCAATGATCCATGTACTTTTCTGCACTATAATGGAACTAAGTCAAATCCCGATCTCCTAATGGTTTTGGCAGATCTGTGTCAGTCAACAACACAAAGAGTCCTTGGGGATCCTGGCTCTGAACACAGACAAATCTTGGCTGATATATCCTTTTCTGCAGATAGAAGGTCTGCAGCACATCCCACATATGTTTCCTGGAATTTTGTGAAAGCGAACTGGAAACTTTTCACAGACACCCTGAAGCAACTTTTACAAAGGAACCCTGTAAATCCTCACTCCCATCCAGATGCTATTTGTACTAAACTTAATAATTATATTCTGGATAGTGCTAAAATTGCTATTCCTAGGGGAAGAGTCAAGAGATACAGTAGTTTTTAGAGCGAAGAACTCCAACAACTAAAAGATAAACGTGATCGCCTACGAAGGAAAGCAGAGATCACTGGTAGGGTTCCAGATGTTATAAATTGGAGAAAGCAAGCAGCTATATTTAACAAGGCCATTATAACTGCAAAAAGAAACAGTTTTAATGTTTTCATCTCTGAAATTAATTTCCAAAAAGATAGCTTGAAAACTTACAAATTTCTATCTCAATTGAGAAACCAATCCCCTCAAATTGCTAAATGCTCATTTCTTGTTGATGGAAAAGTTATTTCTCCAGATACTAAAGTTGCCCACTGTTTCTTGAAACACTTTACCGGGGTAAATCGTACAGCTGCATTCACAAGAAAAATGTCCAGAGTGTTTAATCGCAGACTTGGTTGTGTCCAGGGTGGCTCTTCTTATCTCCCGGTGAGCGAAACGAATATTTTATGTGCTCCATTCTCCCAACACGAACTAAATATGGCCCTGTTTAGATTGAAAAATAGCAAATCTCCCGGAGTTGATACCATCCACTCCGAATTTTTAAAGCACTTGGGTCAAACTGCTAAAGCCAACCTTCTTGCATTCTTTAACATAGTCTGGAATTCTGGCCGTGTACCTTCATTGTGGTGTAAAGCTATAGTCATTCCGGTCCACAAGAAAGGAAAAAACGCTGAAGATGTACGTAATTATAGACCAATATCATTGACAAGCCTTATGTGTAAAACAATGGAAGGAATGATTTACAACAGACTCAATTGGTACCTGGAGTCTCATTCCTTGCTTCCCGAAGAACAGGCTGGTTTTCGAAGGTCAAAATCAACTTCACATCATGTAACTCTTTCTAGTCAAGCTATAAAAGACGTTTTGTATTCAAGGCAAGTTCTTACAGCAATTGCTGTCGATTTGAAATCAGCATATGACACAGTTTGGAAAGAAAACCTCCTACTCAAACTTTACAATATGGGAATAACTGGACACATGCTAAACTGGATCAAGAGTTTCATAGGTCAGCGTCTCTGCAGAGTCAGATACGGAACAAAACTTTCAAAATATGGCCTTCTTCAGACTGGACTCCCTCAGGGAGCAGTCTAAAGCTGTATTCTTTTTAACATATATATCAACGACCTTGTCCAGAAGTTAAAATCTATCCCTGGTATTAAATGTCTACTCTATGCCGATGACCTCCTCATTTGGACTGAGACCCCAAAGAGAAGGTCTTCCTTCCTGACTGAAAAGGTACTAAACCAAGCCCTTATTCATCTCAAGGAATGGTGTCTGAAAAACAATATGAAAGTTCACGTTGAAAAAACTTGTTATGAAAGTTTCTCTCTTTCCCATAATAAATTAGATCATCTCATTGGTTTATGGAGGTGAAAACATCCAAACAACAGACAGTTTTACTTACCTAGGTGTGATATTTGATCCTAAGCTCTCCTGGAGGCTTCATTCGGAAAACATAATTGACAAAGCTTCAAGTAGACTTTCCATCTTAAAGCGTCTGGCAGGCTGTAGATGGGGTTGCTCTAGATCAACTCTCAACACAACCTGTAAAACATTTGTTCTTCCTGTGATTACATACTGCTGTGAACCCTTAATAAGTTCTCCAAGTCAGGTTCGCAGATCTCTTGAGGTTTTTCATAATCAAGCACTTCGCTTGATCACTGGAGCTGTTAAATCCACCCCAATAGACGCTATACTCCTTTGCACTGGCCGATGGATGAAGAAAAGACCTCTGGGAAAAAATATTACGGACTCCTGGGTATCTTTCTCTTTGGAACCTAGAGAGCCCCAGGCACTCAAAGACTTAAGCGGGTTTCCTACAGAGGGTGCTGAGCTTAAAAGATAAATACAACCTTTTTCTTCCCACTCCTTGTAGCCCACTGGACTACCAGACTTTCAATGTGGTCACAGACCTTGCTCTCAGAGTCCTAAAATCAGATTTTGATAGTGATGTCCTTAAAGGTATCTCTTACGCAACTATAAATGAGCTATATCCTGAACCTGAATGGTTAAGAATCTTTACAGATGGCTCCCAAGTGGATCAGCAGGTGAGTGCTGGAGCGGGAGTATTTTGTCACCTGTTCTCTGCCTACGCTTCTGTTGGCTGCTATGCATCTGCCTACGACGGTGAAGTCGAGGCTATTCTAATTGCCCTAAAACAACTACAGTGTCGTACTGACCAATTTTCTAGCTCCGTCATCTTATCTGACTCTAAAGCAGCACTTCTTGATATTAACTCTCCACTGATTCCCCAATCCATCTCCATTCAGAAATGCATTGATTGCCTGAAAGACCTGACACTGAAAGGCAAGCAAATTGTCCTCAAATGGATCCCGGGACATTGCGGGACTCGGGGGGTAATGAAAAAGGCAACTATTTTCATAGTTTTAGGCAACTATTTTCATGCTTGAGGCTACTAAAAGCAACTATTTTTGTTTATTTTTTACTGTGGCAACCCTGTTTTTCACAATATAAGCTTTTAATTATCTGCTTTTATTATAAATTAACTTTCCTTGAACTTAAGCTTTTATTCTTTATTTTCTTGCAATTTACTAGATTAATAATCCTTTTTTTACTCATTCAATTTAAAAATAAAGCATGTGACTCTTAAGTTTAAAGCCTATAAATCTATTAGAAAAGCAAAATTATTTAAAAAGAAGACTTAAATATGCTCATTATAAGGGAAATGAGTGCTGCTAACATTACCTTAAGAGGAACCTAAAGTAGTATTATTTAAAGCAATTAGAAGGGTAAATGATTATTTTTCAATTTTTGTTCTTCTTTATTGTAAGAATAAATGAATAGATTGGCCATGGGAAGTACCACATTGCTTTACAGTATTACACATCAATTATTTAGAGTTCATAGAGTAGTTGGAAAGAATTTATTGTGTTTTCCTAGTTTATTGAGAGGAAATATTTCTAAATAATAATGCTCACAAATACACAATTGCATCAGTTCAAAACACATAAGGATAATATGGGTGGATAAAAAACACTTTAATAAAATCTTTAAAGAAATGGAATCACTAAGGATGCAAAATCATTTTCCTTTATGCATATTATCTGTTGAATTGTATATTAATATGGTATACTCATTTTTAAAATGAATACATTTTACCTTTAGTTCAAAAATAAATCAAAATCCTCATTTAAGTAATACATTTAAAGTTTGACTATATAGAATGTGTGGAAATTTAAAAATTCCAAAAACCCCAAAAATCTCATTTTTAATATTACCTTATTTCCTGGAAAATAAAGTTGCTGTACCTTAATAAGAATAAAATCACAATAATGGCTTGTAAAAAATAACAACAATGAAGGGAGAAAAAACTACAATAGTTGTCCTTAAAAATTATTAAATATAAATGAATTTAAAAAAATCCTACACCATTACTTTTTCTTTGTTATTTAAGACTGAAATTCTTTGTTTTCTATGTTATTATATTTACTTTAAAAAAAATGCTTGAACATATTAAAAAGGCTGTTATAAAAACAAAAATGAGTAGTAATAAAAAAGGAAAATTGCATACTTAAATATATAGTGCATCAAAATTATTGCTTATAAAAGATAAAGATGTATACATAAAAGATTTATTGATAGCCTAAAAAAATCAAAAGAGAGAAAAAAAAAGATTGTTAATTCTTAAGACTGATTTTTAGTATAAAGTGATGATAAAAGAAAACGAAATCAATCAGAAATGCTTTAATAAAATCACTATAAAAAAAGCAAAACTTTATTATAAAGAAAACAAATTGTTCCTAATTATTAAAACAAAATTTTAATGCAGAGAATCTCATTTTTTCATTATTACGGTTTTTTCTATTAAAAAAAAAAGTTATCAGAAATGCTTTTATAAAAAATTTCAGCTTATAAGAAAGATCCTAATAAAAAAGGAAGCTCATAAATAAAACAATCATTCTTCATTCTCAAAACAAAATTTCCCTTTTAACAACATTTATCTCTCTTTTAATGAAAATTTATCACTTATCTTGCAGTACTTGAAACTTTTCATTACATTTTTATTGTTTGAAATGCCATTGCTTTTTTAAAATTATTTGCGTTCCTATTTGTTGAGAACGGAGTTTGTAAGCATGTGGCCACTAAAGTTATGACATCATCATTATTGTTCTGATCACCGAATGAAATGAAACGAGCGTCTATGGCTTCTGATCTTGTTATCGTTTTTCCTTTAATAAACGTTGTTTTTTGTTAAATGAACTTTAATTATTTTTAAACTAACAACACATCCACATCTGGTAGATGCAGCCCACAGATTATGAAGTTAATTTAGTGTTGTTCGCAACACTAATTATAAAATTTTTTATAGTTATACTTTTAAGCAGTTGGGGAACATGTTTTAGAAACATGTTCCCAATACATAAAAACATAGCACATGAAAATAACGTGTCATATGAATTTAGATATTCAGATATGTACCTTTTTGGTTGGTCATCTGTGAGTGCGGTGGAAAAGGAAATTGTGATTGTGTCCGATCCTCTGGACGTCATTGCCGTCCATCAAGAAACAGACAAACCGGCTGTTTCTTTGTCATGCGACCTTCTTCATCTCTCTCCGCAGGTAAGTCTTCTGACAATTTTTATGAATGATATTTTATACTTTATATTACTTTTTGGGCCGGCATAGCCTGTTCGGTAGTCCGAGAGTTCAAACCCCGCCGGCCGACGACTCTCAGTGTAGTAAATGGTGCACGTTAAATCTGTCGAGTCCTCCATGTTCCCATAACAAATCAATACCACCGAGGGTACTGGATTGGAGATCAATCGTTCTCTGATCCAGGCTAAAAGTTACGATCTGCGGATGTATGAATGGGTCCGCCCTATAAACGGGTGTGACAAGTGTGTGACTAGGGACAAATTCTTAGCCATAGTTGGCGCCACTGAAAAACAAATGCGCTCTCTGCCTGAAATTTGTTCGGTTTCACCAAGCAGGCTTGCTAGTGTGGCAAGTCGCATTAGAAACAACAACAACATATCACTCTTGGTTTCAAAATTTTGATTTAAAATTATTTTATCTACCACGTCATAAATGATTTAAAAAGCATATATAATAAGTCTCAAGATTATATTTTTTTTATGTGTAAAATTCTTAACTAAAGTTTGAAAAAAAAACTTACCTTTAATGCTTTACCCTTAATGCTTTACTCTGCTTTTCAATTGCCACTATGAAAACTCTTTAGAAAAAAATCTTTATTGGAAGCCATGTCTTATTTTCTGCAGAACAAATATAAACCCCTTTGATTTGACAGCTACCCATGGTAAACCTCTTGAGTTGTTATTGTTAAAGTTCAAAACATGGTGAGAATTTTCTTTGTACAATAACATAAAACGATGCAAATTACATTTTTATATACAGGTTCTTTTTCCCTTAATATACTACATATTAGGGGAAGTTGTTACATATTAATCTTTTAACGAAACAAAAATGTTTCTGAGAAATTTAAGAAAAAACCGAATATATTTTAAATTAGGATAGCCACTGTAACTAGTATAATAAAGAAATTTCTTTATTTTTACTGTCAATTATAAAACTTTACCTACATACAAAAATCGAGTAATATATCAGCATATTTAAGTTATTAAACTCATTATATATACACTACCGGTCAAAAGTATCTCCAACTTTATCACCGGCAAAACATCCCCAAATCATGACTGAACCTCCACCATGCTTCACAGTTGGTAGTAAACATTGACTTGTTATACGTTCACCAACTAAACGACGAACATACTGTCTTCGTTTGCTTCCAAACAATTCTAATTTTGATTCGTCCGTGAACAAAACCTTTGTCCACTGTTCTAAAGACCAGGTAGCATGTTTTTTAGCCCATTGCAGTCATTTTACTTTATTTTCTTTTTTCAAAAGAGATTTTCTAGCAGCTACACAACCTTTTAAGCCATAGTCACGAAGTCGACGTTGTACAGTAGATACTGACACAATTTTCAGCCGAGTAGCATTCAATTCCTCACGGATTTCTGGTGCTGTTCGAGTCCGCTGCCGCTTACTTTGAATGCGTATAAACTTATCCTCACGTTTGGACGTTATTCTAGGTCTCCCTGATCGATGGCGGCTCTTATTTTGGCCAGTTTCTTTCTTCCTTTGCAAAGTTCTGACAACAGTGGTTTGAGAAACATTAGTTTTAAAGGCAATTTGTTTACTTGAATAGCCTTCTGCATGAAGTGCAATAATAACTGCACGTGTTTCCACACTTATTTCTCGTTTTTGACCCATATTTCTGTAAAAAGATTTGTAAAAAAAAATTTTTTTGTTTTTAATGTATACCAGTTATTCTGGCTAATTAAGGCTATTATATCAATATTTAAAATTTGTCATGTACATGAACATAACTTATAATTAATCCCATAAAAGAAGATGAAAAGTAAATTGTTTATAAACTAAGAATTAATAAAAAATTTTAAATAAATTACACTTGTTTTAGTATAGGTACTTGCATGCAATTTCGTTCATTTCGTTATCAACTACAGAATAGATACAAAATGAAAAAATAATGAACATTTTTAAAAGAAAACAGAGTTTTGAGATGTTTGGTTATGATTATGTTTAATAAATTGTATGTTTAAGTCAGAAACATTTAACTATTTTTGAAAATTTTGAAATAAATACAAGTGAGTCTAAATTTTTGACCGGTAGTGTATATATATCAAAAATATCACTTAATTTTTTGAATAATTCTTATAATATCTGTTGTTATAGTTCTTAATTACTTGTTTAATAAGGATCTGTAATTATTGCTGATTTATCAGCTACTGTCTTAAGAAAACTATCAAAGAGTGTTTTTACTAAAATTAAACTATTATTGGTATCATGGATGCTGAATTATTTGTGGTTGCCTAATATATTTACATAATATAGGTTCTATCATTTTATTGCAATCTTCCTAAAATGGAATTGTAAAATCAAATTCAATATGAGAACCTTTTGAACATTATATATTATACAATTATAGTAAAAAATGGGATCCCAGTAATAAAATTAGACATCTGCTGATCATAAAACATCAATGCAGATTAAGATCTTTATAATATTTTACTTTTTTTTTTTGTAATACTCCAACCTTTTCATTTTAAACCAGCAACAAACATTGTTTGAATTCCTGACAGCCGTGCTTTTAGAATGCCACATTATTTTTTTTTCAAGTTATGTCTCAAGCGTTTACAGAAAATTGTGTTTTCCAGTTTGCACTTTTATAGAAGTGAAAAAACAATATGTGTCACTACAAAGCCTTAACTATTGACCTTGTTTTCCTTGTATAATATGGAAAAAATAATAACCAGTTATTTGAAATGTTTTATATACATTCTGCTGTAGGGTTATTTTTTTTTTTTGTTTTACTGAAGGGATTTAATCTTAGGCTATGTCATCTATCAAAAGGTACCTCAAGATAGAATCAAGTTAACATGTCTACTGAACTCAATATTTATAGTGGTAGTTACACCACATTACTCCCCTTCCAGAATTTTATCTCTGATGAAATTCGATGAACAGATTCCACTAGTTGATTCATGCTGTTTATATATTTATATCAATTTTGCTCATTATATTATTTTCTTCATTTTTTGTTTATCACGTTTCTCTCATTATAATTTTTTTTTTCATTTTTTTTTCATTTTTTTTTCTTCTTTATAGCATTTTGCTCAATATTTTTTTTTCATTTTTTTTTTACTTCAATATTGCTCAGTGATCATGAGACTTTTTGTTTTTTAGAGCAGTATATTTTTTAAAGCAAATCAACTGTTTAATGTGGACCATCCATCAATGTTTGTAAGTTCATATCACGTCTTCTTCTATCTTGGATAGATGAAGGGTTGACATTAAATCCCCTCATTGGTGACCCGGACATGATATGAACTTATCTTGAATTATGTAGAATGATTATAGAATATAATTATTATGGAAATATGAATTGTTTCAATATTAAAAAGAATAACACTAACCTTTAAACCCTGCGTCTATTTAGCTCATCACGTCTTTTAAATCTTTTCAAAAAGTTATTTTGTGGTTGAATAGTGAACAACTGTGCCCTGATGTTTTAAGTTTTGTTGCACAATCACTTGGAAAAAACATTTTTTTAATAAGGTTAGTTGTTTTTGAATTAATATAACTTTATTTGTAAGTTAGACTTCCATTCAAATATTCTCCTTGTATTATAGGCCTCAAGATTATTCTAATGCCCTGTCATGCCTTCAGTCTGGACTGAAAATTAAGCAAATCTTGAGAAATGCTGAGGGCATCTATCATGAAGGTGTGGATTCACTGAGTCCTTACAGAATGGTTTTGCTAGACCGGTTCAAAAACAGTGAAAAACATTCTGGTCTTAAGGTATCTTTTTTTGTTGTTGTTATAACAACATTTCTTAAGAGGAAGAAAATTTTTGTCGCAAATTCTCTTTATCCTTCATTACTAATATAGCATTTAAAAGAAAGAAAAATTAAGTTTAGGCACACCTAAGTTTAAGTCCTAAAATTTCAGTTGCTGAAAAAAAAACATACTTCAAAATATTAAAAGGTAAACAAATTATTAGAAGAGAACTTCTCTGTTGTCTAAGTCATCTTCTCATCATTATTTTTCATTTGTATATTTTATAGTTTACTTTTCAGTCTTTGAAACTTCATGAATTACTCTAGGTTTGTCTGAACTCACTTTAAATGTTAAGTTAGTAGGGGAAAAGAGAATTTGTGAGGAAAATTTTCTTCCTCGATATGGTGTCCTCTTAATTGACATGATGTTATGGAAATGTCTTATTACAGGGCTGATTGTGCTCCGGAAAAATCCGGATTTCCCGATTTTTTGCTAACAGTGATCCGGAAGCTTCCGGAGATCGAAGGTTCAGACGTTTCAGAAAATCCTTGATCACAGAAGTTTCCGGAAATCAAATTTTCAAAGGTGGAACTTAAAAACACGGTTTATTTTATTTGTTTGTAAGGGAGAGCCAGAGATATACTCTACAAGCTTATATTCATGATTAATATTCATTTTTTATCAGTAAATAGTTGTTATAATCATAAAACTCACGAAAGAACGACATATTTGTAAATTTTAATTACTTCTCCAGGTCATAGGTATGTGTAAAGTTTCAAATATATCTTACATAAGCTAAGAAATATTGAGAAAAAGGAAGAAAAAACTTGTTTTAAATTTTTTTCAATTTAAACTTCTTTTTTTTTAAACTCTAGAAATTTTCCGGAATTTTGACTTCGGCTCACAATCACTCATGTTATTATAGACTTAACAATTTAAATATTTTAAAATTTTCTTTCCAATTTAAACTGAGGACCTTGCCTGGTAGTGACTTTAAAAATATATTTATTTATTCATTAATTTTCATTTAAAAATCTGTTTATTCACATCGTGCTGAAATTGTAGTTGTGTGCCGAGAGTATTTGTGAAAAAACAATATTATAAAATTAACATTTTATTTTATTTAGAGAAGGTTACTGGGAAATATAAAATATGTCTCTTTCATAGTGTGCATCTGTGAAAGAGAATCACCATGACAAGAAATATATATATTCCTGTACAAAATATTAAGGGGTCACAGTACCCAAAAAATGACAAAATTACCAAAATTTTTTTTTATTGCTTATAATAAAACTTCAAACTATTTCAAATGTACAGAAAAAAATTCATCTCTCTATCTACAATTTTAAAAAAGTTATGAATGATTTTAAATTGTTCTAATACAGAAACTTGCTCAGCAGTCTGACTTCAAAGTGCTTTTTCGCATAGATGATAATTTTGTGTCTTAATCTTAATTAAATCCCTAAGGAATTTTTTCTATTTAAGATAAAGCTTTGAAGTAAACTTTTTTATCTTGAGTATAATACTCTTATTTAAACTGTGCATGGAATAAGCATTTTATGAGGTATTACAACTTTTACGGCATGTTATATATACCTAACAGGAGTTTTTACCCTTTTTTTTCTACTTTTTTACAAAATAATCTATAAAAAATATTCTAATTGATATATCAACAAATGAATGCACAAAATTGTTAAGATAAATATTGCAAGCACTATGAAAAAAACTTTTTTTGAAAATATGTTAAAATAAAAAAGCCTTAGGGATTTAAAAATTTAGAATTTTTTCGACTTTTTTTAAAATTTAAAAAAAATTAAGCAGTTTAATCATTTTTTGAAGATAAATTATTGATTTTAACTTAAATGAGCATGTAAAGTATCCTCCAAATGAATGATTATACCTTTATTTTAAAAAATTGTTGCAAAGGTACTGTGACCCCTTAAGCGCATATTACTGTCTTATTTATTAGTCTTTGATATAATTTTGTCTCATGATGCTATAATAAAAAACTATTTAATTATTTTTAAGGTCATACCATTTCGAGTTAAATACCTTATTATTTTTTATGCTTTTTTATATTTCACATTAAACATACACATCTCTACCAATCTGCCTACATGCTTGCACCAAGCGTGCATACACATACACACATGTTTTGCTCCCCCCTTTTGTTTCTATCAACAAAAAAAAATTTTTTAGGTAAGTTAATTCTTATCTCAATTGGACAAATTTTAGCTGATCCTTGTCAGATTTGAACTTTTGCCACTGTAATTCCTTGTCATTTTACAAGTAATTTTTTAAAAAATAATTTTTTTTAAATCAGTTACTAATTTTCTGGAAACATTGCAATTTTGAGGACCTAATTCCTATTGCATACATGATATTTATTTCATGTATTGATTTTGCCTTTTTGCGACTTTATATGCCTTTTCTTTTGGCGCTTTTCTTACTACTTTCGATATTTTTAAACCATTTTGTCATCTTTTTCAGATTCTCAAGTTTTTAATCAAAATATTTTTAAGTTTTTTTAAAAAAATATTTTTTAAAATTAAATCAGCAATCTGTCCATAACTTACTCGCTTTATGCTTAAACTAAAAGGGATTTTTTTTTTAATTGACTTAATTTTCCGTTAAAAACATTCTCTTTTTTTTGTTAGCTTTCTTTTTAACAGTTATTAATATATATTTTTTTTTGCGTTTCTGCAATGTATTAGAATTTTTTATTTTCAATTCTTATCTTTATTTATGTACCGCCACACATGCTGCAATGCTAATCCCTAGTTAAGCTTTCAGTACCATTTTGCTCTTGCTGTTTTCCCTATTAATATTTATGCATAATAAATTTTTTTTTAAATTTTTTATTGTCAATGATGGATATTTCTAATTTTTAAATGATAATGTTTAACACCTTTTAGTGATAATATGTATTTAACTTTTAAAAAAAATATTCTAATTAATTCAAAAATATTCTAATTATTTAAAAATATTCTAAAAAAATATTTTAAAAATGTTTTTGAAATTAACAACAATAGATATTTAAACACATCAAGCTATTTTATTTTGATCATTAAAATAATTAAGAGTCTTTGTCATCTGATTCTTCAGATCCCGTAAAATTGTTTTACAGTTTATGAATCTTGTGCTATAGGGCAAAATTAACGGTTGCCACCTGGTCACAGGGCAACTAAATAGCAATTATTTTTTTTTTAACTAATATTATGAATATTTTATGGTATTTTAAAAATTACTTCATTTCACGTTTGTTTCTTTAAATATTTCTTACTTTTAGAAATGAAACTTGCAATATTTACCACATATTACGAGTTGTTTACCGCGAAATGTTTACAAATTATTAATTTCTATAATTTTTTAGATTGTTTACATTTAAAATTTTTGAAAAAGTAGCCTCCACTCTTTAAAAAGTGGTCGCTGTTAGAAATGCCACTGGCTATTAGCAACATTTTCTAATTTTGCTTCTAACAAGTGGCAACTATATGCTATGAAATTGAGATTTTTTTTAAATTCAAAATTTGTTTCATTTTCTACTTCTGTTATTTATTTTATGACTACTTGTGGTACATTACCACTCCTGTAATGAATCTGACATTATTAACTTTATTAAACGACAAAGAATAAAATGGGTTGACCACGTTATCAGAATGGGCGAAGATTGTACCACAAAAAGAGTTTTCAATGGCAGACCAGTTAGCACACGAAACAGAGGTAGTCTGAATTTGAAATGGATAGATGGTCTAGAAAAATATATTTTGGTCTTAAAAATCAAAAACTGGAAAGCACTAGCAGGAAAAAGGTTAGCCTGGGAAAAGCAGCTCGAGAAGGCCAGGGCCTACCCGGGACTGTCGAGCCATTGATGATGATGATGGGGTACATTACATTTGCTGCATTATTATTGAATTCAAATTGGGCAAAGAAATATCTCTTAAATACTTTTTAAGGAAACAAACACTGCAATTAATTGTAGTTTTTTGATGAGATGAATTATAATTGGGATTTATACTGAAAACAAATTTAGTCTTTTAAAGGCTTCACTAGCTGCTTTTCTTAGTTGCTTTCGTTCATTCTTAAGCAAAAAAAGAAATTTTTTCTCAAAAATTAGCATTGCACAGATCTGTACTTTGCCTTATTTATTGTATACATTTGGGTACAATTTATGTGCAAAAAAAATTATTACATTAAAATTATCACACATTTATGTTGTAATGCTAATAAATGCAAATACTTGTCATCACATAGTTTTGTTTTCCTAATAAGCATTTAATATTCTTCTTACAAGAAAAGAAAATTCTTGTTTTTTATTAATCATTTTTCTGTAATTTTTCAATAGAAAACACTGTTAACCAAATAATATTTATTTTAGTGGAAAAGATTTTCTGCTTTGAATGAAATACTGAAAGGACATCGAAAAGGAGAGCTGACAGTATTTTCTGGTCAAACAGGTACTGGAAAAACTACTTTTGTCAGCGAATACAGTCTTGATTTGTGTGTTCAAGGAGTAAGTTCCCTTTCAATTCAATTCAATGTTCTTTTATATATATTGAATTTTGTTCTCTCTTGAAATGAATTATTACTCTTCAGCTTCCAACTTTGTGGGCAAGTTTTGAAATATCAAATGAACGATTGCTGGAAATTATGTTTTGTCAATATGCTCAGTGAGTACCTTCTTAATATACATTATAAGTCATAATTATGACATGTTCTAGTGGTCTCTGAAATGCATGCTATACGATTTTAAGTGGCATTGAGAAGCTTCAAAATTTTTTTAATTGTTCAGTTTTTATAGGTTTTAATGGAATTCATAACTGAGGGATATCAATTGATCATAAAAATATTTATGTCAATTTTTTTTTATGTAAGACATATTTTCCTCGCTATACGTTTTTTGAAAATCAAAACTTGGATTTCCTTGAAAGCCTATCATCACATTACCATAAATCCAGGAAACATTCAGAAGACAATTAGGCCTGAATAAGAGTGCAATGCCAGAGTGCTATTCTTCGAGGGTTTATCGACAGAGTCTTTCATGGGGCTCATCGGGCAATTGTGCTTTTGAAGATAATATTCATATAGCTTTAAAACATCTAAATTAACTTTGTCTGGGCATAAACGCTTCTAAATGTATTTTCAACCTATGATCAACCTTTCTGAAAAATAGTCCCTCCTGTAATATTTATAATATTAACACCATTACTCAATAATATAATCACAAAATGCTTTTTCTATGTTCGAACCTTTCATTTTGAGTCATAACCAACATTTAAAAAAAATGTAATAAGTGATGCTATTACAATACTTTGCACTCATAAGAATTCAAGATTCATCTGGATGTTTATGGAAGGTTCCATCCTATTATTGTCTCAGAAAGTTAATGCTCTTAGATTTATATTGTTATATGGGTAATTCTCACCCAATTCCGCAACTAACTGTCACAAAAATCTGATTTCATACAATAGAGTATTTAAAGTTTAATCAATACCATTATTGTTAGCTTTTTAGAAGGCACTGGTCTTAACAATTACATGTATTTAAAAATGTTTCAGAAGGTAATTTTCTTCTCATGTCACCAGAGATATTGCTTTAAAACTGCATATATATTTTTCTCAGTCTAATTTTTTTACTTCTAAATTGTTAAAAGCAATTATAGAGTATGTGCACATTGAATGGTTTTCAAAGGGTTATATGGACGAATATAATATTCATTAGCAGAGTCTGGCGCCACCCTTTCAGAAGAGGCAAATAAACCAAAGTTTAGTAAGGCTATCTGGCAGTTATCTCAAATTCAATCCAATGTGTGAAATCTTTCAATAGTAACAGAGAAAAATCCATTGAAAGAAATTTTAAAAAGATTTTTTATGTTGTCATTTTCTTGCTTTCTCTAAATCATTATTGGCATAAACTGTATTATTCAGTATTTTTTTTTTTTTAAAAAAACTATTGTCAATAATACAGAGTAAAGTGTCAGATCTTAAAGTAGAACGCTGTTGAAGTGAAGCACTGTAAAATTATAACATTCAAGTTATTATGCAATACAAGTTATTAGGATATAATAATTATTAGGGTTTCTTTTAAAAAGACTATTCTGAAAATTTTAAAATATTCTTAGAATTACCCATGTAACACTAATAAACATATAGTTTTCTGATTTTATCTATGTCTGTATCTTTATTATTTAAAGGTGTTCATTTATTGAAAATACAGAAGAATTTCATCAGTGGTTTGATAAATTTGAGAAACTTCCAATGTATGTTCTTAACATTCGAGGACGCCAAAGTGTGAAGGAAATGTTTCAGGTAATTTTTTTTACGATTGTTTGGGGAAAATGTTTAGAGATTTTTTTCAAAACAAGAATATTTTATTTTGTGAAAGCCTAATTTGCTTTCGGGGATAACATGGTAACTTTGAGCATTAAATAAATGCATTTGTGTAGTTCATTATAATTGGGTTTTATGTTTTTCTGTCAGTATGTTCATTTTAGCGTATGTATATGTTGTCAATATACTCAGAGCCTGACTAAGGCAGGGGCATACGGGGCAGTTGCCCCAGCCACCCACATGAAAGGGGGGGGGAGAGAAATCAAATAGAAAGTTTATTTTACGTTTCCTTCTTTAATGAACTTTTTTTAAACAAAATATCAGTACAGTGAAAAATATGTCAGGTTTATGTTAGTTTTTTTTATTAATCTATCGTATGAACACAATCTATATTTCGTAAACCCATGGCTTTCTAGGGCAGAATTCAACTAAATTTTTGCAATTGCGATGGACCTATCAAATACCTGTATTTTTACATATCACAAAATGCAATATGTTTGCAAAAAATACAGGCTTCTGATTGGCTTGATTGAGCCATCGTGATTTCACAAATTTAGCTGAATTCTGCCCTATTGTCAGCATGGATATGAACTTTTCACAGCTAGATGACAAAGTTAACAATCAGAAAATTAATCAAATGAGCAGACGGCTAATTCGTCTGCCCATTGGAAGGGGGACTTTATAGCTATTTCAGCTTCTAGGCAATTTTCTTGTTATCTATAATGAGGTGAAAAATACCTTCCATAAAGTTCATTACTGAAGCAAAGGGTGTCCTGAATATACTGGGTTATATTTGTCAAAAGAAAAGCATTTATAGGATTCATTTCTTATCTGGATTGAAAACATAGTAATGGGATGAAGTATTTTATGTAGTACAAGTTTAACAAAAAAGGTTGCACAGAATTTTTTTCTAAGATTGTTATAAAAACCATATTAACTAAAGCTGATAAAATAACTGTCAAAACATCTTTCATTTAAAATCAGGTATATTTATAGATTCAGATCATGAAGAGACTGTCATCAAAGAGTATTTCTTCTTCTCTAGATTTATTGCACTGATAATGAATTTCCAATTAAAATTATTTGGAAATTTTTTTCTGTGAAAAAATCATTTCAGTTTGTAGGAATTCAGTTATTTAAAAAAAGAGGTAAAATTTTAATAATTTTTTTTTATAGTTTTTAAAAACTTCTGGAAAATTCTTCAAAATTTATTAGATTTTTTTTTCAAATTTTTTAAAATTATTTACATAAGTTGAAAACAAGCGAACCTGTAAAAAGTTTCTAATCTACACAAACGCTATCCACTGATACTGTTGTTAGCTGTAAAAATATACATAAAATTGCCCACATTGTAATAGTGTGGCTATCGTAAATATTTACCTAAATTTCATTAAAACCAATGTTTAAAAATCACAAATAGTCCATTTTTTTATGAAAACCTATGCACGTTTTGGGTGTCGCATTGCTGCAATTTCTTTATAGAATTAAATGGGTCATAACACCAAACTTTTTTAGATTTGAATAAAAGATTTTCAAGCATTGTTTTTAATGAATTTTCACACTATTATTAAAATATTTATCCAATTTTTATAAATTGTTTTTGTTGAAGGCTATGAGGTTATATGTCCGAGTTTATAATGTCAGCCATATTGTTGTTGATAACTTACAATTTATGATGAATATTGAAAACTTGAATTCTTCAATGGATCAGCTGCGAAAACAGGACGAAATATTTGGAGCTTTCAGAGGATTTGCAACTCAGTTCCATTGTCACGTCACTCTCGTCATTCATCCTCGAAAGGTATTTCTAACATTGATTTATAACAAGTAATGTATTATAACAGCTGTTAAATCGAGTATTTAGTGACACTCTGTCTGTGGTAAGTACCACCCATTTTAGCAATTTTTAAAAAATGCATGGTAACCGCTTTCAATGTGTGCTGCTAGATGTTAATAACTCAGACGAAAAACAAAGTTGGTATCCAAATGCCAATTTTTAGATATTATTTACTCTTGTCAAAAAATATCTTCTTATAGATTCTTCCTCCATATTTTTTCCACACCTAAATTTATTTTGTATTTCAAAAGAAGTATAAATCATTATTTTATTAGCCTCTTATGAATGATGGTACACCTATCACCACTACCACCCCCCCACACACACACGCACACTCACAAATCATATTAAAATTCACATTAATTTGATCAAATGCATTTCTTTCCTTTACTCAAGTTCAATCCAAAATATAGTTTCACATATTATTGCTAGATATAAAGGGTCCGTTAAAGGGTGAAATTATGAATTAAACCAACATTTAATCCACCATCATCCATTTAATTAAATGCTATATAAAATGCTTACTTTCAATAGGTTAGTTCGAAGTTGAAATAATTTATTTAACTGAGCATTTCATTGCGGTTCGAATGCACTCAATCATAAGATTTCCGTCGTTAAAAATATTTTACATTCTAATTTATTTTTTAATTGCATTTAGCTTAAATCAGCAGATGTTATGTAGGACTCTTTTTTTGAACAGTCTTCTTTAGAAATAATATGCCCTACATTACTCAAATTATCATTTTACTACCATTATTTTACAACTTTGGTGTAAGAACATGAATTGATTACCATTTTTCTTCTTTTTTTTGTTTCTATTTTTATATTTTTTAAAATTTTTCCTTATTTTTTTGGCAGTATTGGTACTTATTGGTTAAGCATTTCATCTGCAAATAACAATTACTAATTAGTTGGTAATTAGTAATTGTATTAATAATTAATTAATAATTACTTGTATAAGATAGAACGAATTCTTGTTAGAAACCTCTTCTTCATTTGAAACATAAATAGATATTTTTATATTTTTTTTTTTAAGTTTTAATTTGTTCTTTGGAATTTTACGCACTTTTATTATTAAATGAGGGTAAATAAATTGAGTTTCAAGATGAAACAGTAGGGAAACTATTTTTAGACAGTAAATGTTTTGAGGCCACACATTTGTTATGAATCAGGGTTTATTTTTCTTCCTAAAGAAAAAATTTCTATCTTGCAGCATCATCCTCTTTTATTTCTTGAATTAAATAATGTTAATTTTTCACGTCCTTGATTATATTTCAATAAAATTTTATCACTCAGAGAATTTCAGATTGAAATAAAATGAGCCCTATTGATTTCGTACAAAAATTTTTATGAATATACGTAATTTAAATACAATTATAATTCATTTGTGTGGAATTATTTCATTTTCATTGAGCACTAGAATAAGCAGTTTTTACCGTATTGTAGATTTTCCAGTGGTTATTCTTTGTTGCATGTAGAAAAATCTCCACTTTGCTGAAATTCATAAGAATCTTATAAATCTTATCTGACTCTGAACTATTAAAATTGATATAACCTTTTGAAAACGAATATCATAAAACTTTAAAGTATTTTAAGTGTAATTCAAAAACAAATGAAAAAAAGAGCTCGATTTTTTTTGTTATAATTTATTTTGAATATTTATAAGCATCTGCATCCCTTCCTATTTTGTTTATGTACAAATTATAAAGATACGAAATCTGTATAAATAACCCGCATCATTTGTATGAATGTGTGTTGTCATTACTATTTGATCATAAATGAGTAGTCTGTGGTGCAGTGAAATGGTGCTTCTTGGAAAGCTCCATTTTTCACTTTTTTATAAAAGTCCTTCAGCTTAATGGTAAATAAATGAAGTTGAAATGTATGAAACCCGAAAATAACCATTTAGCACACCTCTCTATTTTGAGATATTTATCGTAGGGCAAATAAAGTGTGGAAAAACAAAGTAAAAAAAGGAATTTAAATAAAAACAGAAATTGGAAATGCTGTTCGTTAAAATTAAACTATAATTAAGAAGTTGAATTTTTCAAATTTAAATTTGAAATATTTATCTGTATGACAAAATGAGTATAAATGCAACAGACTTCAAAAAATGAAAGGCAGATGAAGACAACTTGGGATGCTCAAAAGTGGGTGGGAAATGCCCCCTTAGTTTAAGGATCTCCCTTTAATCCTTTCTCTTAATTTTTCCTCCATTCTTAAGCTGTCACGATCCCCCCCTCACGCAGGACAGCTGTTGTCACTATTTGTTATAGAATTACCCTTTCTTGCATAAATTTGAATGACATTAAAATTTATAGATTGCTTGAAAAAATTTTTGCTTTTTTGTTACTTTTTTTTGGTAAATGGATTGACTTGGATATGAAACCAAGCTCCTTGCTTTCCCAGAAAGTCTAATCGTGGGGTTTGAGCATTTTTCAATACATTCTTTCCTATTTTAATTCAAAGATAAAAATATTCGATCTCCCGAAATGGTTCAAAATGAACAATGAATGCCTTTTTCTAAAATAAATACTTTATTAATCTCTCAACGTTAAGAAATTGTAAGGGTCGTATCTGTTCTACGCCTTCAATTTAACCTTACATTTTGTTTGAATGTGCAAAAACTATAACACTTGGAAATTTGAAATGAAAAAGGTGTGCTGAGAAATGTATAAGAAATTTGATAGAATAAAAAAAAATTAAGGTTAGATTATTCTTTGAGATTTATCAACTTTTGAAACTCTGAAAAAGAGATAAAAACCGTTTGTAATGTGTACAACATGTGGTTATTGTTATAGATTGTTAATAAGTAAAATTAATTCACTTTTATTACCACTTATGATATTGCACATTCTGTATTATCTATTTTTTTCCCAAGTACTCTTAATTATTTTTCAAATGGTCATTTTATTACGATCCATATGTTAGAAAAATATTCTTACGTAAAATTATAAGAATTATATATTTTCTCAACAAAATGACCTCATTTTTTTAACTCTGGAATTTTAAGGGGGGAAAAACAAAAATGAAAGAGAGGGCACCAGGGTGCTTAGGGTAGCTTCCTGTTTGTATTCAATTAAGTAAATCCAACTTATCGTGAAACACGCTTAGTTTTATAGGCAACTTTTTTATAATTCTGTTTATCTGCAATATTAGTTAAATTATCCGTTATTTTTTATGCTGTTTTTTTATGCCACTGCTTGAAAACTTTCTTTTTTTCATAGTTTGGTTTTTAATTTGGCTTGGTATGTATTCCACATATGTGAACAGAATTTATAAATAAGACAAAGGTCATCTCATTTATGCAGATTCAAAATTGTTTTTTCTTCATAAAATGAAATTTCACTGAAATTACAAATTTAACTTGTTGTACTTTATTTTTTTAAAAATATATATTTGACTTCTTCAGAAATACATTTTTTGGTCACATGAAAATGTTAGTATATTTAAATTGTGTTCCATCCAATTTTTAAAAAAATATTTTCAAAAAGTTGATTAGGAGAAACTAAACTAGCAACGCCCCCTATCGAGAACTAGAAAATAATCTCACAGTGAGATAGTGTGAACGAACAGTAGAAAGCCTGCCATGCAGAGCTTCTTGTTTTCTTCTTCTTCATATATGTTTTATATATTGTGAATGTGCTGAGTGCTAACTATAGTCATGTTGTTTGTAATAAAATAAAAGTTAGCTAGCCGTTGTTTTAATTCCCCCCTATGCGCCACACATCACATTTGTAGTTTCTTTTGACATTTTTAAAAATGATTTTTTCGTTTTTGTTTATCTGTAGTTCAAATTTAAGTTTTGATAATTCAAATCATGTTCAAAAACAAATTTGCTGTTGTAAAATTTTGGGCCAAAAATTTTATCCAAATTTCAAAATCCATAAAAATCACTGCCCATAGTTAAATTTACAATTGAATTTTATAAAAACATTCATTTAACAGTACTAGCACTAAAAGTTATTTTAATTATGAGAACATTTTCTACTGGGTCATAGAGAAAAAAGTTTCACAGAGAAAAGAATGGTTCATAAAAAAATTTCGACTTCCTGTAAACTTTATAAAGGGTTGTTTAATTTTAAAAAAGTCAGCGACAAAAAAGCTTGCTTTGATATCACGTAAGCGTCTGATTAGGCTTACTATATTGCAGTATCTGACCAAACATGTGCTACCTTTTCATAAAAGACATCTGGCAGAAAAGCTTCTATTTTCCATAGATTGCAACGAGAATGAGGTTTGCGTGAGAACTTGCTTTTTAATCCCTTCCTTCTCACTCCCTTAAAAATGATGGGGTGAGGTTTTGCCCTCTATTTTTCGCTCCCGTGAAAATTCCGGGCTAGAGTGTTCAGTACTAACGCGCCAATAAGAATAAAATTAACTACTTTTGTCTGGAAAACATTTTATTTCTCATTTTACGCACCAGATGGCAGTACCAGGATATTTTTAAGGTAATTGTAGATAGTTTATTTTAAACTAGATGTCAGCACTAATCAAATACGCATATTTGGCAAAATAGGCCCTTTTATGACTGTTTTCTTGAAAATTAACCGATCGTTAAGGGGTTAAAAGTATTTTGTGAAACTGCCATTTTTTCTGAAGTTGAAATTTGCGAAGGTACTGCTAAACGGTAGTAAATTTACCCTGCTTTAATGCTAAGCAGGTACTACCTGCTTAACGTTAAAGCCGAAATGAAGCAATTGTGTTTTTATAAATCTGTGTTTAATTCTAATGTTGCTTTCACAGGAACCAGAATTTACAGAATTGAATAATGCATCTATATCTGGAACTTCAAAAGCCACTCAGGAAGCAGATAATATTTTGATATTACAGAACACGAAAACTCGTCAGTACATACACGTGAGTACCCCTCTTCATTGTTAATTTGGAAACTGTATTTTCTCTCCCTTAGAAAAATTTGCCTTTTAAAAAATAACACCATGCGTTTTTACCTAGGTTAAAATTTTGCTATACACTTTTGCCATGAAAGTGCATTTCCATATGAGCATGGCAAATTTTTGTCCGAAGAATATTGCGAAAGTGTATGGTTAAATTTTTTTTATAGGTAAAACCATTTAAGTATATCGTATATTATTTAATTCATATAGAAAATTTCTACCATTAAACTATTGTATGTTATAACCTATGATGAAATGTTTCCATGGCTATGGAAACATTTCTTCATAAATATTTTCATATATCATATATATTTTATTTCATATATTTCAGTTTTTCATATATTTTCCTTTCTCAACCTAATTGTATTTTATCATACAATTATACTTAATACTTGGGCAAATTTATACAATAGCAATAATAAGCAAGGGTCATGAAATACAGTGAACTTTTGGTGCTCTTTCACAAGAATGTCTAGAATAAGAAAAATTAAGTAACTAAATATATTGCAAAAGGCAATAATTCTGTAAAAGATGGCTCAGGGTATAGAGTATTCCCCTTCCAATGAGTGGAACCAGGTTCAAATCCAGCAATGGCATTTTGTTACGAATTCCGCTTTTGGTTCGAACTGTTCACAGTGCTGACGTAAAATATCCTCAGTGGTAGTCAGATCATGGGTTAGATTCCCCTTGCCGTCAGGCTGACCGTTGGAGAATTTCATGGTTTTTCTCTCCGTGCAATGCAAATGCGGGTTAGTTTGATCAAAAAGTTCTCCACGAAGGCAAATTTCTTCCTATACTTGATTTAGGAGCTCCCTTGTATTCTGGATTGAGTTCAAAGTGACAAGGCTATGAGTTGAGCATTAGTAGTCGTAAAACCTAAACTCGCTGTTCAACGACGGTCATAAAATAAAATACGGAGAATTATTCTCTCTTAAATATTTATAGAAATATGCATATTTTTATTAAAAAGAAAATTTTTTTCTTGCATTTTTTTTACTATAACATTAAAATATTCAACAAATAAAATTAAAAAAAAATGCAGTAATTTAAGTTTTAAGCAATTTTCAAAGTAGTTTTCATATTTTTAAAGGAAAGATTAAAATGATAAGGGGATTTCCACAAATTTCATTTCGTATTGTTAAACAAGATTTATTAAAAATGACTTCATTATTGCTGGGAATCTCTTCCATAAAAGTATTGCATCTTTCCTTATACAATCATATTTCAGTATATGAACATCTATTATATTATATTATCATTTGTTATTTATCTTATGATAGAAGATAATATATGTAGAAAAACCCTTTATCATTTTGATTTTCTTTTAAAAAATCCAAGAACTACTCAGAACATTGCTTGAAACTTTTTAAATTTTTAAGATATTGAATTCGGAATTTTTTCATTAGTTGTCAAATGCCATTCACTACAAAATTATGAAAAAATAAATTGTTTAATTTTTTTTTGTGCATGTGCTAAATATTCTAATTACTTATAAATTGCACAGTTTTCAGTGATTTTTTTCAAATTTTTAAAGCAAAAATTATCTTAATTTATTTTAAATTGCTCTAAAAAAGTTTTTTCAATTCATTGAATAGTTTTAGAGTTAGAGGGAAAAGACGTAAGACTAAGTTGTTATTTTTTTATAAAAATGTTTATTTTTTTTCATAAATAAGCTAGGCTTACGAAAGTTTGTAAAATTATTGCATATAATAACCAAAATAATTGTCAAAAGCTACAAATTTATTGCTACATTTTTGGCATGTTCAAAATCTCTTTTTTTCCGTTTGTAATTTATTGTCGGTCCCTCAAGCCTCTAAAAGCTTTAAATTTAATTGATAAGTATGAGAAATCACTTCTGAAGTTATGAAATGATTCTTTGAGTAATTCTTGAGAAATATGGGGAAAAAATTTTATAGTATAGAAGTGTTTCCTGTACTTTTAATCTTTTTTTTTTACCGAAAAAGAGGAAAACTTTTGATTTAGGAGAGGTATTTTTTCATCCCCAGTGGCGGTTTGAAGCTTACCCAGCTTCAGATGTATGGGGAAACTTGTTTGGGAATTGTGAAACCTCTGAGCCGCAATGGCTATGGGGATGGAGCGTTCTCCTTCCCATGAGGTGAACCGGGTTCGAAACTCAGCGATGTCTGGTCGATACAAATTCCGCATCCAGGACTACAGTGCTGATGGGAAATAGCCTCGGTGGTAGACGGATCATGATTTATAGTTCCCTCCCCGTCAGGCTAACCGTAAGAATATTTCCTTTCCATGTACTGCAATCCATCAAAAAGTTCTCCAGGAAGGCAAATTTCTTCCAATACTTGATCCAGGAGTTCCCTTGTCTTCTAGATTGGATTAAAAAATCAAGGCTACGGAGTTAAACATTAGAAGTTGTAAACCCCAAAAATCGGGTCGGCCGTTCGACCCCGGTTTTAAAATAATATATAAAAAAACCTTAACCTCCGTGGGATTTTTTTAACATATCTTTTCAGAGTTAATAATGTACCGTCGGAAGAGTTGTGCTCATAACTTGCAATGAGTTTTTACATAAAGTAGACAATGAAATGTCTGATTTAAGTTGCATTTTTGTTTTTAAATTTTTCTTTTTTGATTTCAGATAACTAAAAACAGATTTTGTGGAGCTAAAGGATGTGTGATGGTGGAGTTTAATAAGAACAATTACACTTTTAAGCAAAGTAAAATGAATACCGCATCATCGAGTGATGGAGCGACTGGAAGAAAAGTGTTATGACAGTGGAACTTTCTCATCAAGTCATTATTAATCAAATCATCTTATCAAATATTGTTTCATAAATCATTTTAATAAAAAAGGATGTTTCCCTCATTTTTTCTTGTAAGTGAAGAGGTTTGCCTCCCAAAAGTATGGGGAGTAAAATTTTGCTACTGGTCAGCATCTTTAACAGTGGCCTAGAATAGCCCACCCCGTGACGATTTTTTGAAATCTCGCCAAACTAGGTTTCGGGGAGTTATGTCAACCTACTACTATTTGCCTAAACTTTTCGGAGTATTTCAAAAAGTCGCCAAAGGGTGGGCTATTCTAGGATTTTTCCTCCACTGTTTCAAAAATCTATTAATAATGTAAGACATTTCTTCTAAAGCATTACAAGAAAATTATGAATAAACGATCGTGAAATAAAGTAATTTTCAGAATATTATAAAATATTTTAACTGTTCCATATCTATTTTTTTTTTTTAAAAAAAGTAAAGCATTTTTTTTAAAAAAAAGAAATGCACAAGAAGTGCATTTTTGACGAAAAAAGTTGGCGATTGGTAGACAGTTTTTTAATCGCTTTTTGACAGTGTCCCTAGTATCAGAAGTACATCTAAGCAGTTGGAACAAAATTTAATTGCGAACCAGCTATCTAAACCTATGTGCAAAAAAACTATTTAATAGTTTTTTTTTAAATTTCAATGTATGCAAATTAAATTTAATAAGTGGGTGTTGTAATTCAAGATAATACAAGGATCTTTTTTAAGATGTTTTATTTTACAATAAACCGTCTTTATTTGTGTGAATTAGGTACCTTGTTCATTCTAAAGTTTGTTGCAATAATTTCTTTTTTCTCTTTTTTTTGTGGAAATTTCCAGCAATGATTGCATTTTCTTTTCATTCCTCGAATCAGCACGGCGGTGCATAGACACAGGAGGGTTCATGGCCCCGAGTCACGCAAGTAATAGCACCACAAAGTACGTCGACGGATAAAGGATGCCTGTTGGAGCGACACTCCAGAGTCAAACCACAGAGCGGCGATGCCAAATCCGACTGCAGACGCTCAGTTAAGAGGAGGTCGGCAGCAGGCGAACCACCGAGCCGTCCTCCGCCTGGAAGGAGCTGAAACCAATGCTTTTACTTTATTTAGATCAAAACCATCAACTTGAAGGTTAAAGCAAACAAAATTAAAATAAAAATGTTCGAAAAATCACATAATAAAGATTCCTTTAGAATAAGGTTTTGGAAGGCCAAACTAGCTCACAAAGTCATGGGGCAACAGCAAGTTTCAATAATGAATTTGTCTTTTTAAGCTCCCTTTGATTTGCTGGACAAAGATCCTTTCATAGCTGGATGGTTTGTATTTAGTCCAAATTTCTCGTTCGCAGCTGCGCAATTCACGCAGTTGCTTTTCTGCTTACAGTCTTCGGTGTCCTGCTTCAAGGGCGGCGCCAGTAGGGGGTCAGGGGGGCAATTGCACCTCTGTCGGGCATGGTCACCCCCCCCCCATCGTGAAAATTTTGAAGTCTCGTCGGGAAAATAGTCTGGTCAAATTTTTTTCTGAATTATATCAAAAATTCATTTACAAATGCCTAATAAAAAAATTTGTTGTTTATTTTTTATTTATTTATTTTTAAGAATTAGCAACAAAAATTAGTAAAATATATTGTAAATTCTATGTAATTGTAGTTTCACTGCACTACTCATAACTTTGTCCATACATTGCTAAACTAGAGACCGGATGCGATTAGACATGGGTGAAATTGACGACTTTTCGAAGTCCCTTTTAGAAATCCTTTCCCTCAGACACATCTTCATTTTCTTGAAAACTTATCTTTCAAACTGATATTCTTTCTTCTGGAGAAAGGGGAGACCTCTTTGCTGGGGGAATAACTGATGAAAGCCAGAGGGATAGAAAGATCCTCTTTTTGAAATTTTCTGGCAAAATGAAAGTATAAGAATAAAAATAAATTTTTTTCATCTTTTTTTTTAATACTTTTAAATGAGGAAAATCATTTACTTATTGGGATTCAAGGTTTATATTTTAATTAACGCAATAAATATGCAGTCGGAAAAAAGAAATACAGAAACAAAATATTTTTAATTTATTATTTTTTTTATCATTTTCTTAGTAGTAAAATATGCAGTCGGAAAAAAGAAAAACAGAAACAAAATATTTTTAATTTATTATTTTTTTTATCATTTTCTTAGTAGTAAAAAGATTGTTGATTGATTCAGAAAAACAGTTAAACTGCTCGTATTCAATATCTTAAAATATATATTAATCAATATAACAGATTCTCTTTGATTCATTTTATGAACAGTGCATGAAATGGAAAAAGGGAACACCTTGATTACTTGTGATTTGATCATATTTTCACGTACAAAGAGTCAATACCATATTTTAAGTTACGAAAATGAACAGAAAAGCGCATTCTGTTCTGGATAAACATACAAGTTTGTCTATAGTTTTAGGTTTTTAATTTTCAAAATGCGGGGACAGCCGCAATCTGGAAGATATGGTCTGAAGTTATGGCAAAGAGAGAGTTGGAAAGTTTGGATCCTTTAATTTTAACTTCACTCTTCGATTATAGCCCATTATCTCAAAAACCTTTTTAGTGTATAAGAAAATGTTTTCATAAAATTACAAAAAAACATTTTATACACAAATTTTTAAGCAAAAATAATTTCAAATAATTATTTGTTATTTTTTATTAGTTTATTAAATAAAAGTAAAATATATTGAATTGTATGTTCTACATATTTTTACATCCTTCTTTTAATTTCAAAATACAAACTTTCAGAGCAATCGATCAATTAGTTTTGGAGTTATCAAATTTTAAAAAAGTCAGTTTGTTAAAAATTTTATTTATCTCGAATTATTCTACCGATTTCATTCAAATTTTGTATTTCGCAATTTAAAATTACCTTCCATAAAATTATATAAAAATTTGTATATCTTGCAATTTTATTTTATTTTATCCGTTGTTGAACCACCGACCCAATTTTCGGGTTTATCACTACTAATGTTCAACTCCGTAGCTTTGTAATTTTGAACCAATCCAGAAGACAAGAAAACTCTTGAATAAGTTCCCCCAGAGGTACTGATTTGTTATGAGAGCATGGAGGACTTTGCGACTCCACAGATTTAACGTGCATCAGTCGCCATTTACTACACGGGGATTTCAAAAATCGGAATTCAGAATTTATCCAACGCATATTATAAATATAAAAGTTATTAAATATTTTATAACTATTTAAAACTATATTTTTTGCATGGCATTACCTTTGGAAAAACGAATTTTTGCAATTGTATGAAAACTTTTTCGATTCAGTCAAAAAGCAAAACGTTCTTGAGGTATGACGAGATTGAGATATTATCATTGAGCTATTATTTCGAAGCTATTACTTTGCAATTACTATGAAATTAACAAAAGAGGACAAAATAAAAGACGTTTTTATTTATTTATATCTGATATTAATATTGAAAGTGAACATCATTTCACCTTATTTTCCTCTTTCAATCATAATCCTTACATCAAAGCATATATATATATATGGATAACCATCAGCAAAATTTTAAAAGTCTCTTTCAGGGACGTAGGTAAGGGGGGTGTTCAAAAACCGCCCATTGTACAAGGCAATTTTCTTTTTTTTTTAATACTATAGATAATTTTTCCGTAATTTTAGAAAAATTTTAAATATTTTATTTACTGAAAAAAATTGGAGAATTCCCATGACATTTTATTTAGAGGCAGGGCAGTTTCCCATGACAACTGCCAATGAAAACTGGGTGCAAATTGTTCAAAAGAATGACTTCAATAGCTAGCAATAATTAACTATATTTAAGTACTATATATTTAATAACCTATAGGCTAAGCTCGCTGCCTACTCATCAACACCGATGCAAAAATTGTTGTTTCTTGGCAGAAAACATTTATATTCTTATAACATTATATTCAAACAAATTTGAGCTCGTATTTTCGCTAACCCTACTTTTACTTGTATCTTATTGGACAGGACGTTAAATTCTGAATCATTTAACAGATTTCTTCAACTAGCGAGATTGCTATCGACATAGGCTTAGAGTCTGAGAGGGGCATGTGCCCCCTCAATATTTTGCCAAAAAGTAAATTTTTCCTGAATAGATTGCATATTTTAAAAAAATTTAATAGCTGAACAAAAATTAAAAATGTTACTTCTACTATCTCATCTTTTTCTCTTCAAATCTTATAACGCTTATTATATATATATATATATATAAAATTTAGTTTGACTTCAATACTTAGTTTGGCCTAGTTTAGATACATCAGAGATACTTTTGAAAATAAAAATGGTTGTCTTAATAATCGTCTGCTTCAAGAAGCTATTTGGGTATTTTCGTTCCATGTGTGGCTTCCTCGTAGACGCTGGTAAAAGCAGCTGCTTGAAAAACAAATTCTAACATCTATTACAATTATTTGTTCTAAAAATTTCACATTTTACTCAAACTGAAATGTTCTCACCCTCATTTAATGATATTTTTTACACAGAAAGTCTAATATTTCACATTACAAATAAAAGAATCAAAGTTTTCTAATGGTCTCAATTTTCATTGAAATTTACCTGGTATACCTGGAAAAGTCAGGGAATTTTTTTCTGAAATTGAGTGAGAGCCCTGACACAGTCTTTCCATCTCTTTTTGGGCCTTCCTCTTGGCTTTTTATTGGAGGGGGTTGCATTAAAGACTCTTAATGCTGTTCGTTCTGGGCTCATTCTCACTACATGCCCGGCCCATCTCATTCTACTTAGTTTAATAGATTTAATGATATCATCACTATTAAAGATCTTATATATTTCAAAATTATATCTTTTTCTCCAGTTGGATAGCGCCAAAGATGGTTGGTAGGACCTTCCTTTCGAAGGTTGCTAATAGCTTCTCTTCCCTTTTTGTTAAAGTCCATGTCTCTGAAATTGTCATTTATTAACATCAAGTAATATACATTTACTAAATAAAAAATACAGAAGATATCTATAAGATTTTTTTTCAACCCGGCAAACATTTTGTAACCACTCTGCCACAAGATTCATAAAACTAAAGCATTCTATACAATTTAAAGAATGACAGCTCTGTATCAAATGTTTTGTCCAGGGTAGAGTTTTGTTACTCTTATACCCATAATTTCATAAAAATGAAGAAATAAAAATACCCTTAATATATGTAAGTAAAAATTCAACTAAAAATATGGTATCGAAGCTATATTTTACCATAGCATTTCCATATTAATTTCATTAATTAACAATCATTCTTTTACAAAATAGTAACTCTTCATAACTACTTTACTAACTCAGGCTGACAAACAACACTCAGCTTAATTATTTAATATTAAAAACAACTTATATTCAAATTGTCTTTCTTAAATGTAATAATGCTAACAATAATACTCTTTCTCCAAAAACTAAACTTTAATGATTAAATCTCTTCAGAACATGTTACAAGCAATACAAAACACCAATAAAACCTTAATTGCATAAATAATATTCTTATTACCACCTTCTTCATTATTTTTTCCCTTTTGCTCAATCACAAATCTGTCAAATTCATCACCACAATTCAAAATATCCTCTTCCAATGCAGCATTGCCCACCTGAATATCTTCCTCTTCTCACCTTATCCTTCATTTTCTTTTTTTCCATCTCTGCAAAAAGCTTAAAACATCAGATCAGTTATCGTCAGATTCGGTAATAATTAAAAATTTGTCAAAGAGAGCTGCAGAGCTAAAAAAAAAAAGCTGTTTTGAGTTTATTTAATTTTTCATGATGTTTTTTTTTCTAATTCTATTCCAAATATTATTTTTAATCTTATTCTAGATATCTATTAACAAAAAATTTAATTGTTTCTTTAACATTTCTTTGAATATACTTTTATAAGTGGATAAATGAATGGATCCGCCTTATAAGCAGGTGTGATGCATGGGTGTGGCAGAAGTCGAATTCTTGGCCGTAGATGGCCCACTGAAAAACAAAAACAATTGCATCACTGAGTGCCTTAATGGCACACCACAACAACAACATGGAATTTTTAAAAAAATTTACAATGAGAACTAATAAGAAGTGAATAATTCATTTGTTTTACCAGCATTAAATTTTTTTAATGCATATATGAGCCTTTAATTGCTCAGACTATCAGTATTGTATCATGAAAATGATTTGTCATCTCCCACTGTTACATCTGATTTCCAATTGGTGCTAGTGTTACCATTTTCCTATGTGATGTCATATTTTGTGTCATACAATGCATTTGTTGTGTGAGATTTGTTTAAGACAATGTATTATAGTCTGAATGTAAGCTTTTTCCCACCTAACAGGTTCTGATTTTTTGACTCACAAATTTTTGTGCCTTCTATTCTAAGCTGCTGCTTCAGGTCGAATATATAGGTTCATAACTATAAAATTGACACTCAAAATGGTGACCCGTCCCGCGTGGTCTTAATAAAATTGCACTTCTGAACAAGAAGTCGCTGCATCGTAAATATATAGAATTATAGCAAATATGTACTCATAAATGCAGAACTTATTTTGACAAAAATATTATTCTTCTATCTACTCCATTCTAAATTTTCAATTTATCTACTAAGCATATGATATTATGCTGATAATAATATATTTCCGCTACATAATGTATGTTCAGAAAGCTCTTAAATCTGTACAAAAATAAAGTCAAGAAGAATACATGATTTATCTCCAAAATAAGTACAACACTTTTTAAAAAGATTAAGTACAATTTTTAAACACGAAATATATGATTCATGAAAGAAATGTACTAATGTTATTAATGTATTGCAAGCGGAAAACTCCACATAATAATGCGTTACACATTTTTAATTTTTAATAATGAAGAGTAACTGATATTCCACCATCCTTTTTACCATAGACTATGTCTAGGTTAAGAAATGATGGTTCTTTCGTACTTTCATGTGTAATTCAAGATGCTCTATGTTCTTTGAGCACTAACCTCAAAAGAATAGGTGGACTCCCATGTAACTTTTGCTATACATTTAATTTTCGCCTATGAAAAAATGTTTGTTTTGAAAGAGCAAAAATGCTCAACTTCTGTTTTTGATGTGATTTTCTTACATAAAATTAAACAAAGATTTCATGTTATATTGGAATGAACAATTCAATATGTATGAAAAGTAAGGTTAGCTTTCATATTGAAAATGTACCAAAATGTTGCGTGTACTATATGAAAACATGTGATATTTTTGTTGTATTTGAAAATATGATTTTTACTACTACTGAGCACTTTCATGTTTTCCTTAATTTTAAACCAAATGTTTGAAACAGCAAAAATTTTTAACACCTATATTTGATGTGGTTTTCTTATAAAAAGTGAAATAAAAATTTCATGCAGTTCAATTCAGATTTTCTAACACACATTAAAATAACATTGTGTCTATGAAATCAATGTATTGGTCGCAGTAATGACTGTATTTAATAATTATTGTCTTTATTCATTTACTGGTGTTTTCTAATCTTGTGTTGTATTGTTTTTAGAGTTTGATAAGACATCTATTTCTGAAGAATCTTTTATCTTTTTTGAAAGAGAATTTATTCCCTTTATTGATGACATTGAAGCTAACTTTGAATGTGCACTTTGGTTAAGTGATTACGTGACTTACACTGATTACGTGAGTGCTCTACGGATTGTATGTATAACTTTCTTTTTTAAAACTGTTAATAATATAATTAAAAATTTTGAAAAATAGTGATCAAAGCTCTTTATCTAATGTATCTTTCAGTTCACAAATTTTTGTGAGAGGGAATAATAACCCCCAAAATAATTCTCTTCTTAAAGACAAACACTCTGTTTTTATAGTTACTTTTGCTTAAATTTCAATGGAGGACCCATTAGCTTTTCCAAACTTTCTTCCACCAAATGTTACTCAATTGGAAAGTAATGCAAGAATTTCAATACCCAAAGGCTCTACGATTGAGAAGTTTTTTCAATGTTGTATGTTCATTAACGAAATAATTTTGCAGAAACTTTTTTGTCAAATTCTTGTTTCTTAATCAATTTGTATCCTTTTAAAAAAAATTTGCGACTGAAAGTCATGTGACATTTAATTTATTTGCAGTTGGTATATCCTAATTTTGGAATCACTTGTTTCAGTTGAATTTTTTTTCTGTGCCATTTAATTTAGTTAAGAAAATCTCTGAGCAGTATAATAAAGAGTTTTTAAAGTCAGGTATTCATATGTCTGAAGATATGCATTACATTTATTTTCCTTTTTAAAAATTTCAAATTGGTCTTATAGTTATTAAATTTAATTTAATTGTTATTTTCTAAAGAAAATCTTATCTTGATCATAAAAAATCATTTATCACAATCAAAACTTATCACAAAACTAATCACATAAAAATTATAATTTCCTACAACCATGTACTCTTTTGTCTGAAAGCTAAATAATCTTTGCCTTTTTTAAAAAAAATTTCAAAATAAAGAACAACTAATTTTAATATTTACTTTATTTATTCATTCCATTTTTTTTTGGGGGGGGGGGTTCTCAAACTCATTTAAGTAATTTTGAAAAATTAGCAGAAAATTACTCTTTTCCATTTTCGTAAGTTAGCATAACTAGTATATGGTCTACCTTCAATATGAATTTTCTTGAATTAGTTTAATCGGAAAGCTAAATCATTTATATTTATTTAAATGTAGAGTGATTTTGCTTTGCATTCACATTGTTTTCAAATTATACATCATGATTTTTATTCTAGTAAATTTAGGAATTCATTGTGATTTGTATTCACATTATCCACATTGCATTTAATTTTGACATGAATTACAAATAGCACACATCATGCTTGAGAAGTTATGAATCAGTGATATAGCTGATTACAGAAAACCATAATAAAGATTAAATTGGTTTTCAATGAAATCTTTCAACATGCAATTAAATTACAGAGTATGTCATATATTAATCAAGATAACTGATGTTTTGTTATAATTAGGCATTTCCTGTTGTAAATGTTTTTATTAACCTCAATGTGAAAATAAATGAAATCCTTTTTTTTTTAAATATTTTTTTTATTTAGAAAAGTAATTAGATTTAGTTTGTTAATGTGTATGTACTAACCTAAAATAATGGTAAAGACGCTTTCAGTTTTTGATATTTTTTAAAATTTCTCATTAAATGCTTAGAAAATTATTTATTAAGTTTAAAAGCGTTTAGTTCGTGCGATTTTTCTTACTTAGCAATAAATGTTAATGCTTCCAGAGATTTGAGGGACAATAAATTACAAAAAAAACAAAGTATTTTTAAGCACCCTATGACAGATAATCAAGAAATAAGCTTGTTACTTGCATCAATTACTTTGATTGTTATTTGAAATAGCAACACAAAAGTTTGTAAACTTAGCTTAAATATTTCTGGAAATATGGACATTTTTATAAAAAATATATGTTTCTGTTTTATGTTTTTCACTTTAAAATTAATCGATAAAATTAAGCAAAATTTTTGGAACATTTTAAAATTAATTATAAAATTATAGTTTTAAAATTTGAAATAAGTTTGACAAAAACTGCATGAAATATGAATATTTAAAAGTAATTTATTTATACTGTGCAAGTGCAGAAAAAATTAAACCTTTTTTTTTCTTCATAATTTTGTAAGGAATTGTATTTAGCTACTAAGAAAAAGAGTATTTCAATATCTTAGAAATTTACAACGTTTCAAGCAATTTTCTAAGCAATTTTTGTACTTCTATAAAGAAATCACAAAAGGATTAGGGTTTTTCACAAATTTCATTTTGTAGTCTCGGCTGTTTTTACCGGTGTCAGTTTTAATAAATCTTGTTTCATATTACAAAGAAACTTGTGGAAAAACACTTATCGTTTTGAGCTTTATTTTAAAAAGTAAAAAAACTACTTAGAAAATTACTTTAAACTTTTTTAATTTTTAAGATATTCAAATCAGAATGTTTTCATTAGTTGCTAAATGCAATTCACTACAAAATTCTGTTTTTTTTTTTTTTAAATTTCTGTGCATGCGCTGTATAAAAGAACTACTACTTTAAATACTCATATCTTAAGTAGTTTTTATTGAAGTTTTTTTCAAATATTAAATCAATATTTTTGTAAATAATCTGAAGTATCTGTAAAGCTTTTGCTTACTTGTGTTGAATATTTTTAAAGTTACAGCAAAAAAACATAGGACCAAGAAATAAGTTTTTTATAATCTCTAATATAATAAGTTTTTTTATAATAGCATAATATAAATAATAAGAATCAAAATAATCAATACAAATTAAAAGATTCTTAATTTCTCCCTGGCATAGGGTGTTCAAAAACACACATTTTTATTATTGTAATTTATTGTTGGTATCTCAAACAAAAAATGACCTCTTCCACTACTGTAGGATTGTTTATATATATGTAATACAAAAGCTATAAAAATACTCTTGTATTAATAAAAGCATTAAAACTTTTCGTGTTCATAAAATGTAGATATTCTATTTTGGGACTTCAAGGCTGAAAACATGCCAATGAATTATAATTAGATTTATGTTTCAAAAGAGGAGTTATTTTAAGATCTTTCACTTCCATATAAGGAAAGATTAAACGATTTTCTATGAGTAATAAATAATTTTAATGAGGCGTAGGAATAAATTAATGCAATATGACTGACTTGTTTACACATTGTAAGTATCGTATAAAACCCAAGAGCAATGATTTCTGTGTGTCTTTTGGTGTTTCATATTTACTATCTGAACTCCGTCGTTTTGACGGGAACCTGTGTCTTTCCCCCTCCGGCTGGAGAGGGGTGTAACTGCTATTTCACCATCGTTTAGTAAAATAAAAGATTATGCCGAAACGGGACTCGTTAATCATGCTGTTTTGACTTGTATATAACTAAAAAATATCGGTGTGGGTCCACCGTTATGTCATATATATATGTTTCCGAGTTGAGACACAAATGATTATATGGTGTCTTTGGCATCTAGAGGTCTCATGTTCAATTTATTCTCTGTAAATAATAGGAGGTGGAGGGCACTGCACAAACCTCAGTTTTATGAAAGTTTTTCTAAGGTATAAATGAAGATTATTTGCTAAAATTAGTATTATGTAATTTTACATCTGCTTTCATTTTTTTATTATTATTTTTTTTTACTTTACAGCAAAGGCGGTTGCAAAAATCTGTAAAGCATGTTTTCAAAGGTTAAACTTTATTTGATAGTTACTTTGTTACCTCCCCCCTTTTTTTTTCTTCAGAAAAGCAAAATTATAAACCCAAAGTGCTTCCAAAGATTGTCCCTCTTAATGTTAAGTATCTTAAGTTCACTGTACTTATGTGAGTGGTTGAAGGTTAATTGTCGTTTTGTGATAGGCATTTTGTTATTTTTGTTTTGATAATATTACAGTCAATGCTTCTTTGCTTGAAAATATTCATTAAATTCTCTCAAAATAGTTTTTTTTTNTCTCGAGAAATTTTTAAAAAAAATGCCAAAAATTGAAAGTGAAAAAACTAAAAACTCTTCCATTACTGTAGGATTGTTTATATATATTTGTTTCAGCGTCGTGACACAATGAATGATTATATGGTGTCTGTGGCATCTAGAGGTCTGATGTTCAATTTATTCTCTGTGAATAATAGGAGGTGGAGGGCACTGCACAAACCTCAGTTTTATGAAAGTTTTTCTAAGGTATAAATGAAGATTATTTGCTAAAATTAGTATTAGGTAATTTTACATCTGCTTTCATTTTTTATTATTTTTTTTTACCTTACAGCAAAGGCGGTTGCAAAAATCTGTAAAGCATGCTTTCAGAGGTTAAACTTTATTTTGATAGTTACTTTGTTACCTCCCCCTTTTTTTTCAGGAAAGCAAAATTATAAACCCAAAGTGCTTCCAAAGATTGTCCCTCTTAATGTTAAGTATCTTAACTTCACTGTACTTATGTGAATGGTTGAAGGTTAATTGTCGTTTTGTGATAGGCATTTTGTTATTTTTGTTTTGATAATATTACAGTCAATGCTTCCTTGCTTGAAAATATTCATTAAATTCTCTCAAAATAGTTTTTTTTTCTTGGAAAAAAAATTACAGTTTTATTTTTTCTACTACTGAAACCGGTACTATGTCATAGTGCCTCAATTCAAAATGGAACCAAAACTCATTCAAAATCTACTAAATCTTCTGTGCATTATAGTTGATATAAAATTTATATGGGTATAAATAACATAATTTATTTTTAAAGTTTCATTATGCTCAAAATCTTTTGAAGTATCCTAACAGCTACTATATCTTGAAATTCTCAGATAAAATACTTCTGGAATTAATTTTCATTGTAAGGAAAGATTGATCTTTCTGGGCAGCTTTAACTTTTTCANATAAAATTTTTATTTTTTCTTAAAATCTACTGGATTTATTCCTATCCATGTTGGCAGCTATGGGTATTTATGGTTATGAAATGTTGGTAACTTTTTAATTTACATTTTATTGTTCAACTTCGATTTTTTTTTATAGCTTATGAATTAAGTGCATTGCCTATTCTTTTCAGGCTCTTCTCTTAGTATGAGACAGCTACAAGTTGACTTAGTTCTTTATTTTTCACAATTTCAATTGAAAGATTTAAATGCTAGTATTAACACTTTAATGTTGTATTTGAAGAAAAGAAAATTTTGGATAAAAAAAATTTTTTAATTTCTTTTTTTATGTTCGCATTTTATGTTCAATGCTCTGTATTCATATGTTCTATGTAATCATTTTATGTTCTAATTTTGGAGCAGAGGATTGAAACATTCTTTTACTTAATGCTGTACAAATCCTTTAACACTAAATTTTTCAGCAACAGATTCATTGGAGATTATGGTTTCTTTGATCTTGGTATTGAATATGAATGTCTACGTATTTTTGAAAATATTTACACAATTTGTTCACATCTATTCTTTCTAAATAGTGATTACCATCAACAGGCACCAAAACAAATGTTGAAAAATAGCATCACGCTCCTGTGCTGTTCTCAGAGGTGCCAACCATTATAATTTCTTCATAATTATTATGATTTCATGGACAAAATAAGGGTTTAAATAAGGACATGGACAAAATAAGGGAAATTATGGTTTTTAAGAATTTTCATAGCAATCTATTTAAAATATACGTAATTTTTCTTAACCACCAAGAGTTAAGAATTTTTGCTTTTTGCAACTAATCTGCAATAAATCTTTTATACTCCTTGAGACCATTTCTAAAACAATGCAAACATAGAAAAGTATAGACCATATAGGAAAACAAAAGAACATAAACTCAAATATGAAATGCTGTGAGAAAATATTTTTGGTGATTTAAATGTAGTTCTCTGAAAAGGTAATAAGAGTTCATTCTAATTTAACCAAAAATTAAAACATTGATTCCAAAAATGCGATACAATTTTATCTGGTTTACAATAAAGTATAAAATTTCAGTGTCGTATATTTTTTAAAATTTGCCTAGGTATTGATTTTTTTACTTTATTTTATAGTAAATATATACCTAATTATACTATTTTTTATGAATATATAGAATTAAGTAATATATACATCTTAGAATTGCGCTATTTGTGAATGCTAAGTTGTATTGAATTCTATGTTGTTGTAAGATTGTACTGTATTGTTCTAATGGAAATTAAATCATCATTGAAATGGAATAAATGCTGAGTATTTTGCTCTTTCATAAAAGACACATCTTTCCAAGAAAACAGATATTATTATCATTTCAACACACCCTGCTGCTGTAGAAAGACGTTCCGATTCTCTGTTCTAGAGCCACATTATTTTTAATGATTCATTCCCCACATTAAGAACCATTTTTTAAATTAATGCTTTCTTGCTAACTGATTAATTTGTTTTATGCAATGTACTCCTTCATTTAAAACTGATTAGTTATTACTTTTGTATTTTTGATGCTGGCATTTCAATACAACTTATAGTTTGTCTATAGAAAGAACTTCACTAGCATTTCGTCTGGAACCATAATAGTGACTATGGTAATTATAATATGGTGTTATGGTAGCTATAACTATTCTCAGTAGGGGTTTAGAGTCACTGTTTTGGACAGGTTTTGGCTTGTGTCGGCAAGAGAAAGGGAATCTTTTTCTTCGGTCTATTGTGTCAGCCCTCTAGGAGAGGCGCTACCCTCCCTGAAATACGCTTTTCTCGTTACCATAGCAACAGATGGCTTCAGACTTTGAGTCGGGGGGAGTTCTTACCGTAGACAAACTATATAAACCTAACAGCACAATCTTCTTATTCTCACCTTCATTTAGGATTCTGCGGAGAATAGTCTTGTAAATATTCCAAAAATTAAACATGGTCTTATATATATATATATCAAGCGAACATTTTATATTAGATATACAATTGAACACAAAATCATATTTTATGTAAATTTCGGAAATTCCTCAAATAAATAAAAAAAAGTTTCCTAATTTCTTTAAATTTTATTTATAATATATTCAAATAAATTAAAGAAAATTAAAATTTTCATCCTAATTTTGTGTCTGCTGATTTCAATATTTAAAAAAAAAATCTCAGTTGACTTTTAGAAAATCTTTAAATATGCTTAGGAAATAACGCCTACTCTTACTGTGAATAATTTTGTCTGTTCCTCCAAAAATATTCTTTACTCTTTTTTATTTTTATGTCATAAAATTGAAGCAACATGAAAGTGCAAGGTATATACAATTATCTGAAAATTTTGTTTGACTTTGGTTTATACTAATAACTTTTTTATACTTAGTATTTTGACCATCCAGTTTTTTATATTTGATGAGAAATTAACACAAGTTTAAGGTTTTTTTTATATTGAAAATTTTTCCATATCTTTCAAAAACGAAAAGAAATATCTTTCTCTATTTTTATATCTTTATTTTCACCATTATTGATTTAATGATTACTTAATTTTATTCTTGTAAAATTTCAAATTTTTAACTATTTATAGCCTTGTAGAAAGGTCGTTATATGAAAAAAATAAGTTTTGTATTGAAGCGGATGAGAATGACACAATTAATGAAGGCAACGATGCAAACAAGTCAGATGAAAATGTCAAGATATTGCCTGATGAGAGATAGAAGAATACGACTTTTGACCACAGATTCTGTATTGTGAAATATTTATGTAAAAAAGATATTTATTAAATTTTTGATTTCTTTTTCACTTGAATTAAAGTGACTTTCTATTAATGACTCAATTTATTTGCAAATGAGAGATAGTTTTTTTTTTAATTTTGTTTATTTGAATATTATACGATGTCATTTTAATTCATCCTTTGAGTAACTCATCATCGTATTTAAATTCATCCCTTTTATTGTAACAAAAAAATGGATACAAAAGTGATTATTTGTTTCTGGGTTTTAGAAAAAGGTTTTTTTACCATGGAGGTTGAAGATGTCTTAAACTGGTTTCTGACAGCTGACTTGAGATTTTCTTCCAAAACTGTCCTATAATACTGTAAATCAGTGATTCCCAAAGGCGTCAAGTGAAAAAAAAAATTGGATGTCTATGAAATGAAAATGGGAGTCAACGATAGTGGATCTCATATAAGCAGGTCGTGACTTTAATTTTGGCACTTCATGAATGAAATAATTAACATACGCTGATAGTACCTATTTACCTACATTTTACTACCTTATAATATAAAGACATATATCTATCTACATTCCACATAATTTATAAAAGTAGTTATGAAGTAAACAATTTTTTTAAATTTATGTTATTAGGATTATTTTCTGATATATGAAATTGGCCAAATGTTGATAATTTATTATTAAAGCATCAGGTTCATTCTTCCCACTAAAAACATTTATTTATTGCT